GACTGTACTCACTCATCCTCCATTAATCACCTCTTACAATGCTTATATAGACTCTGTTAGGTAAAAAAAAACTGCTGATATAGCTGAGATTAAATTTGTTTTTATAGAAAATTACTTTTCCAAAAAAATTTCAATTTAAAAATAAATTTATACCCAATGGAATAACAATACACTACGATATTAAATTCCTGTATGATACGGTAACTATGAAAATAAATATACATATTTTATACCAAAAAGATGGCAGTAACTTATAAATTAGTGTCAATTACAATATAGAAAGAATATATATAACACTCGTATAGTTAAAGGACAAAATAACATGTTGGGAAGATAATCAAAGTTACTAATTTTGGGATTGGGGTAGAATAGGAAAACTAAAGAAATATATAAGAATAAATAAAAGTATCAGTTCGATTGTAATTATAAGAATAAAAATCAAATCAAACCAATTAATTTAAGTAATTGTTAAATTCTTTGCTTATCAATTTAATTAGTTATTCCATTTTTTAGTTTAGTTTTACTGTTCAACCCCTAGACTTTCAATTTTATATAAATTCATCTCCACAAATACAAAAACAACTTAAGTAAGTTTTATAAGTCACATATTCAAAATCGAACTTACCTTTTTTTAAAAAATAATAAATATTACTTGTGTTGTATTTCAAAAATACAAGTTACATTAGTCATATTTTGAAAATATGATTGTAAAACCATTATTTGGAAAGTAAGTAGTAGTATTCATGGTACACATTTAACTCAAACATTATATTAATAATTTAAGTGATATTTTGTAAGTAGGAACTTTAATTTGGCAAGTCGCATTTTTTTAAAAAAAATTGGACTTGTATTATTTTATTTTTTATGTTATATCATTTTGGTATGCTAAAAATGAAAAAAAACAAGAGTGTAGAAAAAACAAAACTCTCCTACTCCATCCATGTTTTCAACTTCTTCGACCTATCTCTCAGTGGGTTTGTGGATGTCAAAATTGCATATGGCCTATATGTGGGCAATAGAAGGGTAGTTGACTAGGTGCCTAATTACTCCCATTATTCCTTTGACATTGATTTTCATAGGTGGGTACTGGATCCTCTCGTTGGATGTGGTCCTCTTTTTAAGAGAACAAAATTGAGAGGATAAAAAAAATTAAGAAGAAGGAAATATATTTAAAAAGGTTCTAAGGAGAAAAAAAAATATGATTATTTAGATTGAAAAAATTGTTTATTTGTTTTTCATAGGTAAGTCAAAGAATATTGATTGGTGAATAAATTAAAATGTCTTTAATAGTCTTTTTTACCAAATTTCTCATGAAGATAAAAGGTATATAGTGGGTAGCATGATTTTTTTATTCTACAAGGAGATGCAAAATTATGTTGAAGGAAAATATTTTGGTGAGAGCTGCATCATACTGGGTTTTTCTTCTTATGGACCCTTTTTCTATCCATGCTTATTCTTTCCCTTGATTTTATTTTTACTTAAAACAAATAAAACATTAGCATCAGACAAGAAAAGAAAAAATATTATTACAAGATCTTGCAGCATTTCTTTAATATAACTGGGGCCTTACACTTATTTTTTTTTATCTGATTTAATTCAGATTCGATTTGAGTTAGCATGGATGTGATAGGTAAGCTTAAATTTACTAAAGATTTTTTTACATATACAAAAATTTAAATTCGAAACCACTTGTTATTTTTAAAGTATTATATGTATCGTTGAAATATTAATTACAGTAAATAAAGAAAAAGTGTGTCTCATTATTTTATTTTAGAGATGACATTAATAATATGGTTAATATATATATATATATATATATATATATATATATATATTTAAATGTTGGATAATTTTTAAAGTTAAATTTTGATAGTAAGTGATGTATAACTTATTTTCAATATAATATTAAAGTTTATTTAATTTTAACGTTGAAGTACACATAAATTTTCAATATTACAAATTTATGCATTAAATGTCTGTTTTAGGTGTGGAAGAATGTGTTATATGTTCTATATTAGTTAAAATATTTGGCAAAAATACCTTTGATAAGGATTGAATAATCTTCTTTTTTTCTATATCGTCTTAAAAACTAAGGCCAGTCTATTTCTAGTAATTAAAAAATTAATTTCTTATTTTAAAATAAAAACGCATGTCCTGATAAAAACTTATGGTTAATATCAATTTTGTTACATAACAAAATCATGTTCAACAATCTAAAATTAATTTTATTTAAATAAATTTACATTTGATTAGAGTAACTAATATTTTCTGTAATTTAATCTTTTATCTTTCATTTTTGCTAGAACTTTGTATTTTTCTTTTCTTACAAGTAAATCACGTGAAATAGTTTTTTATTATTTTCTTCTCTTGCTCCAACTTCATTTCTAGTATTTTAATCTAGTTACATTTTTAACCCTCATACTTTAGTCTAAGTAATTTTTTATCTCTTTCATTTTAATTAATTGTATTTAACTTTTATAATTTTTTATTGTTTAAACCCCTAAATCTTATTTAATAATTAATAGCAATACAGTGAAAGTACGACGTGACATTATTTTAACAATAAAAAATTATAAAAGTTAAGAAAAATAAGAAATGAGTGTCATTACATTTTATACATTATTTAATGTTTTTCTTTATCAATTTATATAAATTAAAGTCAATCCACACCTTCATTTCATTGCCTTCAGTTTTAATTTAATTATGACTTTAATCTTATTAAAAGCCATAGTTTTGATTGTAGTCATAATATTTTTCACTTTAATCCAAACTTTAAGGGAGTTTAATGATGAAAAAAGTACATGAGATAAGTTAAATGTGAAACTACAAGTAGAGATAAGTGTAATTAATTCTTAATAAAGAATAATGAAATAAAGGGGATTAAAATAAAAGCTGATACTAGAATTTTTAATTTGGAGTAAGAAATAGAATGGGATGGAAGCAACTAATTATTCACCAATCTTTACTATTTTATTTAATTTTCATATAGTAAAATAAAACTGTAATCCATTCAATAATATGATAATATTTTTCATTATATTTCATTACATTTCACTCATTATTAGATATTCAAACATAACACTGATAACAAAGACTGAGGCAACCACTTAAGCAACAGACTACATGATATTTTGGTTTGGGCTCTTTACTGTGGCCCTTTGCTCTGTTGTTAAGTTGCCCCTAAAAAACTTTATTATTTTATAGACGAAAAAAAACTATAGTGATTTTATTAAACATTATCTTAAACACAGTAATAACAATTTAAAATAATTTTTATTAAAAATTATAATATTTAATATTATTTATATATTTTCATCAATTTTTTTATTAATATTTTATTTACTACTATTTTTTTAACCATTACCTTAAGAGTAATAGTTGGTAACATTGAAAATTTTCTTGTTTTACAGTCTGTCACTGAATTCCAACATGATCGTCATCATTATTGCAATTAAATTCGGTGACATATACCAATTTTAAATAAACTTTGAATTAATAAAATAAAATTTCAGCTAACTAAGTTTTTTTTTTACAAAAATGGTATAGAATAAAATATAGGATTATTGCAGATATATTTTTTTCATATGTATTTTTTCTTTTATTTATTTTCTCTTTAACCAAATAAATACAAAGTTATTTTTTTTAATTTTTCATTTTCAATTTTCTTGATTCTTTTCATTTTTTTTTCACTAATTTTCTTCTCATAACCAAACAAAGCATTAGGGAAGTTTTAATCGTAAAAATTGAAAGACCAAATTGAAAAACATGCATCTTGAGTACCGAAATGAGAAAATTAATTATTTTTATAATTTTAAATATATCATTGTTTGTAACAATAATTTGAGGATCAAATGTAACGTAGAAAAGACATTAATTTTTCAAAATAAAATGGATAAAAAGAGATTACAAAGAAACATATTAAAGATAAAAATAAAACTTTCAACTAATAGTAAACAACTAAAAACACTAGTTGAAGTAGAATTTTAAGAAGATGCTTGCATGTTCATAAATTTAAAAGACATTTTATATTATTTTTAAAATGATAATTGTGATTATTCTAATATTTTAAAATTAAAATATATTTATGTTTTTTTCTATAAACTATTAACTCTCATCGTGTGTTATATATATTTAATATAATATTAAAAAATAATTAAATATAAAATACCTTCTTAATCTTCAATCACTATAAAAATTACTTTTGTTCAAAACTATCAATTTTAGTTACTTTATCAGACAGGTACTGTTATTCAATAAACTTTTAAACTAATAAAATCAACTTTCACAAAGGCCTAACCATACACACTTTTAATCTCTCCGTCAAATTTCTTTTAGCCAAACCTCTCAATTTCTCATTTTTAAGAATCTCAACAAATTACAATATTTCCTGTTTAAGCTTTTGCCAAAAATAAAAATAAAATTTTAAATTGTTCTTTACTCCAATGCTAATCTCATATTTCATAAAATTCTTCAAAATTTCCCTAATTTCCACTAAAATTCATACTTCTAAGCTTTTAAAACTATTGGATGTTCCAAATTCATTGTAAACACTCAAATATTTAAATAAAAATATTAATTTCAGAATTTTATATATAAAAAATCAATAGTCAAATTAAAATTACTTTATTTTATAATGAAAACTTAATTCATCTTAAAAAACTTAAAATATCAAAATTGCAGGCAATTTAAAATAAAGGGGTAAAGAATAAAATTGAACCTAAGCGTAAAAGAACAAGACCAATACAGTGATCAAATAGCCTTCAGCATTCAGTCCACTTGGGTCCTCAATTTCCGTTTACGTCTGATTCAGCTTAAACAAATTCGGTGTTAAAAAAATTATCTTACAAACAAAACCTTACTAATAAAAATAAAGGTTTTGAAGAGAAAATATTGTTTTTTCCAAAATTAAACTGATCTAAACCTGCACTATAAAACATAATTTGTACATTATTCGAAATTTAACTTCTCATACCAAACTATGCCAATTTGGTGACAAATTGCGCACTGGACTTTGAACTGTTTTTCCACAAATCCATTCCAATCTATGATCTTCTCACAGCATGAAACACCAAATTTTGCAGCCACACTTTCCCCAGTAAGTATTATTGGCAATGTCAACAAAACAATGGATTGATTCTGAATTGTCTATTCTGAATTTATGACAAAACAATGGACTAAAACTAAACAATGTCAATGCCAATCCCAATCCATGCAGGAAAGCCGTGTGCACCAATTGCAGATCATAAAATATGTGAAAATTTCCTAACTTACAAATATGCAGTTCTGCACTATATATAGCCAGTATAAAATTAAATCAAACTCATTCCACATTTCAGTTTTTTTTCCACCGCTTTTTAAGGCCAAAAATGAGTCATGGGCAAAGAACAGTTTGGAGATATCTTGTAATATCCAAATAGCAGTATCAACCTTGTCAGTATATTCTCTCAATTCTCACTCTTTTCTCTCTGCCTGCATTTACACAGAGAAGACAACAATCCAATCTTGAAGAGCTTCTGATTCGTGGCTGCAATTTCTACAAAGATCACATTATCATAGCTGACTGACTGCAGGGTTTGTTTCATTAGCCGCTGTTATCATGCTCAGTTTGTTCTTCACCTGTGTACAAGCCACTATCGTCATCAAATGATTCTCGATCTTTAAGAATCCATCTATTCTTCAGGGGCTTATAATCCTCCCCCCTCCAAACTACAATTTGTTCATTCTCAAATGTCACCAGAATACAGGGGACCAGGTCCTGCATCAATACATGAAATAGTTCAAAAGGAGCAACTTAAAGCACCAAGCCCAAGAAAACAAAACTTGAAAACCACAAATTGTGAATTCTCTGCAAAACGTTTGACAGGTAGAACAGAGTGCCATTGTTACTGTATTCGTGTATTACCATTACCACTGGTATTTACTTTCTAGTGACATTATTACAAGGGCATGCTAGACTAAACCCTGGGTTAACTCAAAAACGTTGTCGTTCCAAGTGTTAAAAAATTTGATACTTTATCTTGGTGAGTATACTCTGTTATTACTTCTTACATGGCCACCTTGTGGTACTTTCCGACTAATTTTTAATGGACTATACATATTAATAATTAAATATTAAAAAAACACGAACACTGAATTTACATTTTGTTTCTCACTGCAACAATAGCAAAAAATAATCATTATAACTTGTAATCACATTTGATAATTCTACTTTATAATATCCAAACAAACTCAATTTAAAAATCAATTCCAATACTTAGGTACTTAATCATCCAAGCTGAAAACAGCAATCTGCATTATCATTATGCAACACAAGATAATAATTATATCATATATATAGCAGTAAGCATTACAAACCTAAATAGAAAGCAAAAGAGGTTTGTCTTTACCCTGAGTTTGCAGCCTATTTTCTTGTAATCACTCCTCTCAAGCCCCTGGCAATCTATCCGAACCAATTCACAGGAGAGAAAAGCATCTCTGACCATTGGTACCAAAAAAGCATAATAACCATTTTTGGCTGCAATTCAATTCAGAGTCAATAAAGTTTGACAAGCAAACCGGCAACTCCAAATAGCAATATAATGTTCATACCGAGTTTTGTTAAAGCAGGAACAGCTAGTCCTCTCTTCCTCATTTCTTTTGTTTCTTCAATACTTAAGCCATCAATTGTTGTCTTAATCAGTCTGGGATACACAGGTTCATGGGGCTTCCACAACATGAGAGGAATTACAGGCCTCTTTTTTGGATTATAATTCCTGCCTCTGTATAATACAAGTGTACCCCCATGTCTGGAAATGACCTGTCCAAATGTTTTGTCCTGCAATAAGAACACAAGAATTGCTTATGCATGTGTTATCAGGTAAGTTTAGACATAAGAATGACATGTAATCCAACCTACTGTTCAATTAGCATAGGGTTCAAATGTTTCAAAACGAATCACAATAAAAAAGTTCACTTCAGAAGGCAAGTTAATTAGATGAAAAGAATGAAAAGGTATGAAAAGGCATGAACCTCAAGCTGGGTACAAATATTTTGCATGTCAATAGTTGGAACACCCATGCATTTGATTCTAACAGCTTCAGCAAATTTCCAATGATTATGAATATCATTCAGCATGTTGTGAGTTAAACCATCCCTTCCTGGAACCAAAACAATCAAAGTCTTTCATTAACAGAAAAGAAGATAGAGATTTAAGAACACACGATGAATTTAAAATGGTAACTCATGGTTGTTTAAATAAGCCTTTAAGTAAAATTATTGCTACCCAACAGTATGGAAAAGGGCGAGATCAAAGTACAAAAGCTAAAACAAGAACCTTTATTCAAATATCTACCAGCCAGGATTTTCCCAGAAAGAGGAAAAAGGAAAATAACGTTTCATACATGCTCGCAATATATGTAAGGAAATTGACTAATTCACCTCCTCACAATACTCATCTAATGCATTTCCACTATAATTGCAAAGCAAATAGCTCTTTTTACCAATAGAAGTATTCATTTCTCAACACAACCGAAAAAGAAAAGCTAGTAGGGAAAGGACCACAGAACGTCACACTATCTGTCTCATCAAACAAAACACAAGTTCACAAGCACCAAGCAACCATTGAATAAATTCTCATGAAATCCCACTTTTACTGGCACATAAATACAAAAAAACAAAAAACTGTAGCACATACCTAACATGAGTACCGCCAGAAAATATTTAAGCATAACTATTTGATAGTTTCTAAAACCATTTTCCCCAAAATCCTAGTATTAGCATTCATATCACTTACTAACTTCAATTATGAAATTTATCCCTAAATTTTTCAATTTTCTTATACAAATTTTCACAAACCTCATCATCCTAATAATTTTAAAAAAAGAAAAACAAACTAATGACAACCAATTAAGAAAAGGAACAAGGTTTTCTCAATTCTCATACCTATATTGATTTGCCTATTAGTTTTGCCTCTCTCACATTGCAAAACCAGTGCCTTTCGCTCAGCATTGCTAAGAGGCTTTCCCTGAATCAACCCTCTCTTCTCCTTCCTATGCTCCTTCAAGTTCCCATCTTCCCCTCCCTCCAAGGCCTCCACTTTTGGGTCCACCGCAGGAGCACACACTCCGGTCCACTTCCGGTCGAGCCGGCCCGGCCCAAAGGGCGAGTACTTGGGCTCCCTGAGCCCGATGGGCCTCACCTTGGCGCTACTCTCCGTGTAGCTGAACCGGAAATCGAAGGGCAAATCGGAACGGACCGGTTTCTGGCCGGTCCGGTCGAGGGAGGAGGGTGGCTTGTACTTTGGCTTAGGCTTCTTTTTGTTGGGCCTGGTGGGGGTGACATTGGGGTTTTGGGGTTCCCGGGAGAGAGAGGACGGCGGTTTGAAAGTGTAACGGTCGTGGAGTTTGGAGGCGGCGGAGGAGAGGTGGCGCGTGAGGAGCGTTGCGGTGGGTGTGTTTTGGCGGGTAAGGTGCTTGAAGAGGGACATTAGGGTTTAAGGGTGCATAGTGTTTGAGAGACAGGGTTCTGTCAATAAAACTATTTTATACAGCAACTTTCTTTTTAAATCACTATAATTTTGATCGATTAAGGAGACAAAGTTGATAAAATAAATGAGACTAATAGCACAATTTCGAAATTATATTAATTATTTTTATTCAGTTCAAATTTGTCTGATTTAAAGTTAGTATGAGCATATATTGTTTTAGTCCAGATTTTACAAAAGAAAAATCTACTTAGTTTTATAAAATTATCATTTTTAGAATGCTAAGTATCAATAAAAATACATTAAAAACTCAAATAAATAATATTTTACAAGATTAAAAATTAAAATTTATAATTCAAAACTAAAGTAATTAATATTTGTTTATCTTGAAAACTTGTAATAACTTTTTATTTTATAAGATATATATTTTAGTTTTAAATTTTGTTGAGTGTTGTCTTTTTTCCCCTGAATCAATAAAATTATAGTAAAAATTTTAAAATATATGAAGTTTTATAAAGTTGATATTAAAGTAAATGTTTTATATATTTAAAATTTAAATTAATTAATATTTATAATTCTAAGAAGTAAATTATAGATTTACTTTTAAAAAATAAAATTAATAGAAAAAGTATGTGAAAATAATTTTAGCTTAGATTAGTCTAATACCTAAAGAATATCATTTCACTTGATATGTTTTGTAATTTTCTTGAAAAAGAATTTTGGGAGCATTTTTTTATAATACACTTTTTTACAAAAAAAAATAAAATACTATTGATACAAGTTTGAAAAAGAAGAGATCACAGTTAATAAGAAAATAAAAAGAGATTAATGGATTTGTAAGTTTGTGAAATATGAAATAATGAAGAAGGTATCTTATTGGTGTGAGAGAAATATGGTTGAAAAATGTTTGTCTTGGGCTTGTGGTGGTTATAGTATTTTGTGTTGTGCTTATATTTAATGTTGGGAGTGAAAAAGTATTATATACAGTTGCGGATAAGGCAAACAATAAATTTTTTAAGGCTACAATAATGACATTTTCTTAGTGTTGTGTGAGTTTTTCTTTTTCAAAAGTTGGGCTAAAAAGCACTCTTGAGTTGCATAATATATTAGCAATTTTGGTAAAAGTTGGCAACTTCCATATAAGGTAAAATAAGAAGTAATGAGCTACTAAGACGAGTAAATTAGATCATTCTGAGAGTCTTGTCTTCTAGTTTTAGGACATTCTAACCTTAATCTTAGGTGTTTTGTGGTTCTAGACATTTTTTTTGGGTTCAAATGCCATGTGATTTATTTCTCATTATATCATAACTATAGTGTTTCTCATTTTTATGTTTGAGATACTTTAGGAGTATTTTCTATCCAAAGTAGCCAAATTGCTTATCAAATAAAAGTTTCCTAACTTAGATGCTTTCTTATTAGTCTTAAGCATTATCATTCCTATCACCTTAAAATTAACCTAAAACATTGAATATAATCAAGATTTAAGTAGGTTAGAAATAAAAAGTCTCTTTATTATAGATTGAATTAAATGTGGTATATTTTACTCTCTATTTAATAAGTCTCACATAAACTTTAACATATAACAAAGAATGTATTAAAAAATTGTATTAGAAATTATATAGTACCTTTTTTCTTTACTTAAAATATTGATTTTTATTACAAAATGACTAATGGGTTTTTTCTTTATAAATATTAATTGAATTAATAAATTTTATGACAAAATAGCTAAATTTGTTTAAAAGCTATGTTTCTCACAAACGTTGGATTTGTATGGTTGTATATTTTAAACAAGCATAAGTAATTGAAATATTGTAAATTTTATGACAAGTTCGTTTAAACAACTCTCTCGTGAATTGCTAAAAATTATTTTTCATGAATTTTTAAAGTTTTCTTATAATATCATATATTTTTCCTACTTTAACCAATTTGATTAACTTTTTATCCAATCTTATATTTTTTAAAGGTTTCATAAATAAATCATACAATCTACCCTCATCGCACACAACACATATTTTTAAAAACCATAAAATGTTAAAAAAAATTGAACTATTAATAACATAGCTAAATAAGCTAGATCATTAAGCCAATAAATACACAGTTATATTATTTATAAAACAAATATGTAGAATATTTTCTACAAGTTATCTTTGTCTAGCACATCAACCATCTTATCTCACACATCCTCTTTTGTCTCCCTATCTCTGTTTCTGATATACTTTTTTGTACAAATTTGTTGTATAATAATAATAATTTCTCATATGTGAACGGAGATTTAAAGAGGTGAAGGTTGGTGTAGGAGTAATCAAACATCGTACTCAGTTTTTCATCCTCCTTGTATATTCTCTTTCTTCCCCCTATTACTAATGTATAATAAGAAAAAAAAATGTTGCATAATACCACATTTTAGTCACTATGTTGGGTTAAACTTGAAGCTAAGCCCATTAAACATAAGTAATCAGTGCTATACGTCTAAACGCTTGCATTGGAATTCAAGGAATAGGGGTTCATAATGTCAAGGGCTCTTTGTTTTTAAGCAATATCTCTACTGTAATTGATGGTGATGTGTGTCTTTGGTGTTGTGACATTAAAATTCTTAAACTCTTGTGCTTCTGAAAATTTGTTTCTGGGAAATTGAGAACAAAAATCCGTTAGCTTATGAAGAATAATAAGGGGCATGAAATCACATTGCAAATTAAAAGAATCTTTCCTAAGCTAGCACACATGTTAGCCCTTAAATATTTGTAGGCCCAAAAAACACCAATCTTCCCTGAGACAAAAAGTAGGAGAATTATGTATGAATTCCCTGCTTAACACTAACATCTAATAAAAATTGTCCAAGATAAACAAAAATAAGAAATTATTAACACTACATGTAGAGATCATGACATCAAAGGAGTTTTTAATGACAAAGGATAACAACAAACCATAAAGAATGTGAGAATGTCAATATAAGTTTCACTTGAGGAAGCAACCCTATGCTCCATGTGTGACATTGACTTCAGCCAAAGAAGGATTCAAAATTTCTAATCTTTCTTACAAGCTTCTCCAACCAGAACCTTAAAAATTGTGTGTTAGAAGCAAACTAGTTGTTTTAGGCTTTCTTATCCTTTCTTTTGCTAACTATGGAATGGTATATAAGCTTCTTCTTAGAGTCTCTTTGGCCATGCTTTAGTGTCTCAACTCTCAAAAGCCAAAGATGTTACTACTAAATATGTTTTTACAAAACCATCACAAATCCTTTTCTCTTCTTTGGCTTCAATTACTCCTAATCTTTCTAACCAGTGCCTCAGTTAATGGAATTGAGCAAAAGGCATTTGATTTATACTCTCTTTTCATTCCTTAATAGCTATAGATCTATTTGATTTCTTTCACATTTGAGCTAGCTTATAGCATGTCAATTATTGTTTTCTATATGAGCTAAACCATTATTTCACTTGTTTGCAGAACTTCTACATTGTTTTCTTGGGAACTCATCCTGTGAGCAGAGACATTGCACTTGATAACCATTTAAAAGTTCTATCAGCAGTGAAGGGAAGGTAACCCTGACTAACAAACAAACATACACTTCCTTATCTTTCTCTCTCCAAGCACAAAAGCACACATAAATGAACCATATATGTATCTCTCATTCAATCAAATTCTCCCTAGTTCATAAAATTTAAACCATCCTCTTAAACAAATTTCTTTCTTTCTCTTTGATTTGTGTCTACTTAGCTACCTTGAAGCCAAACAATCCATGGTATATAGTTACACAAAAAGCTTTAATGCATTTGCTGCAAAACTGTCTGAGGACGAAGCCAAGAATTTGTCAGGTATGGATCATTTTTCTCTAACTCCTTCATATTTCTTTAAGTAGTACATGTTATATTTTTAACCCTTTTTGTATGTGTAGACATGGATGAAGTTCTCTCGGTGTTTCAAAATCAGTACCGCAAGCTACACACAACAAGATCATGGAACTTCATTGGGTTACCTCAAACTGCTAAGAGAAGATTGAAATTAGAGAGTGACATAATTGTTGCTCTTTTGGATACAGGTTCATCTTAACTTTCTTCTCATTTTCATTTTCCTCATTGTGTATATTTAACTTAATGTGAGATTATTAATATAAAAGGAAGTACTACTTAAGTAAACAAATATTTTTTTAATTAAGAAGTGTTATTATTGTACCATTACCATGATTTTTAATTTTTAATTTTTTTTTATAAATGGTACTTGGTAATTTAATTGTAAATAACTTGTCTCCATATTGGTGAGGTAGGGATCACCCCGGAATCTAAAAGCTTCAAGGACAAAGGGTTTGGTCCTCCACCAGCAAGATGGAAAGGAACTTGTGGCCACTATGCTAATTTCTCAGGCTGCAATAAGTAAATTCACTTTCCTTGTTTACTTCGTATCACTACATTTTCAATGAATTAGTTTGCAATTACATGAAGAATCTTAACATTTTTAAAATTTAAATTAGACATAAAACGAAGTAAACTAAACACCATTAATAATAACATATCATATACTGATTTTTAGTAATACTGTGCAAACAACATGCATAATCAATCTCCCAATATAAACCTAGTTCTAATAAATTCAAAGTCATTAAAGTTACATTTGAATAATCTTGTCAATGAGTAAAACATTAAGAATTAAACTTCTCATGTAAGTTAAAATTAATTCATGTTTCTCTGTTTGTTTAGAAGCTCTCTGAGTTAACTAAAGTAAAACTTGAAGAGATAAGTTGTATTTGAAAAAGATGTTAACCCAAACAATCATTATCTTTTAGTTTTGATTTTGAAAATCTTCATTTTATTATATAATCAGTTTTCTTTAGTTGCTGTAAGGCATGCTATTGTTAATTTTTTTCCCTTTTCCCCTGTAAAGTGTTTCTCCAAGTTTTCAGTTCAATGTAATTTTCGTTTTACAATAATAGAAAGTGAATGTGCATCAAACTATTCTTCATATTAGGGGGGGAATTTGTTTTAATATAATAACAAGTTTGTACAATTACTACAAATTCGTTCCCTGCTTTTTCACTTTTAGAAAAGACACTATTATTTATATGTGATAATTGACACGAAAAGGAAGGTTTTCCACAAGCAAAAATGAGTTTGAGAAAAATTTGATCAAAACCAACAAGGTCGGACAAGTTCGTAATTGACAAATCTTTACTTTTTATTGAACCAAAAACCAATTTTTTTTTATCTTTACTATAGTCATGTCATAGATATATTTAATTTTTTTAAATATCTTTTAAAAAAGAGTTTCAGGTTGGAGTTGGGCTAGATGGATTTGGAATTTATCAACCCAAAACCAATTGAGTTCTGAGACTTTTTGTTTTCTTTTCCAACTTTGCTTGAATGCCCAATCTAAATACTTTAAATCAATAAACATTATAAAATTTTCAAAATTCTGGAAATCAGAAGCCCCCAAATTTAACACTTATCTACTGAATTATCATCATATACTAAACAATAGCACCCTACATAATAAAACTGAATCTTAAGACTATAATTGCAGAGTCCTCAAGTTCAGAGGACTCTTCCAAAAATAAGCGTATGCCGTTAAAAGTGACAAGCACACGGTATTCTTTAGTAAAAGGCGAAAGAATAGTTCGCTCTGTGCTTATCACACGGCTCCGTGCCTTTGAACTGGAAAGTCCTTTTATTTTATAGCATAAGTAGTTCACTTCCACCTACTATAATACTCGATGTGGGCTTTGTTAGAAACATTGACGCAGACAAAAATAAACCTTTACTTTGAGTTCTTTCACTGTGGTGTCTGTGTGGTCACAATCCTCCCTCGTTCACACATTAGGAGTGCTTCATCTTTCATCTCACTTTCATTTTCATCGTATTACAGTCTTTTTAAATCTCAAAATCACGAAACAGAGGAGATAATTTTTTTTTTTGGCTTTGAAGCACTGCTTCTATGGAAAGAGACCAAGACACAGTGGTTGGTTATTGGTTAATATTCCACCAAATCAATGCTTCAGACTTTGCTATTTGTTATTTCCATACGTTATTTATATCTTTAGGATTCTCCCTGAAGCACACAACTACAACAAAAATACATTCGGGAGGACCAAGGAGTTTTCTTTCAATATTAGTGTTAAATAAAAAAAGAAGACAAAGGCACTCACAAAAGTATGCATGCTATCCTTCACATTGCTACTTGTTCTAAGCCATTGTAACATTGATTTTTAAGTTATATAATGAACTTAACTAATGCCGAAGGACAATAGCTCCTGAGAAAAACCTTATGTAGATATATATATAAATAGAGAAATAAAAGAACACTTTTGAATGCCTCCTATTTGTTAGATCTTGCCAACAATTTACTTATAAAAGCACTTGAAAGCTCAATAAGGAAGTATTAATGTAGTTTAAGTAGGAAATTATAATGTAGATCATATTAATCAGCATATTTTTAGCATAAACTTTACAAATTTAAGTGTGACATCACATGGCTTAAGTTCTAACTTGAAAATTCTCTGTGTGGTAACTTTCTATGGCAAACTTGAAGCAAAATCATAGGAGCCAAATACTTCAAAGCTGATGGAGACCCTGATCCATTTGACATATTATCTCCTATAGATGTTGATGGACATGGCACTCACACTGCATCAACAGCTGCAGGCAATTTAGTCTCAAATGCAAGCCTCTTTGGATTGGCCAATGGCACTGCTCGCGGAGCCGTGCCATCGGCTAGATTGGCAATATACAAAGTTTGTTGGTCATCCAGTGGATGTGCAGATATGGACATACTAGCTGCATTTGATGCTGCTATCCATGATGGTGTGAATGTCATATCCATTTCCATAGGTGGAGGGAATCCTAGTATTGTGGAGGATTCTATATCAATTGGTGCATTTCATGCCATGAGGAAAGGTATAATCACAGTGGCCTCAGCAGGAAATGATGGTCCTACTTTGGGAACTGTCACAAATACTGCACCATGGATTGTAACAGTAGCGGCTAGTGGCATTGATAGGACTTTCAGAAGCACTGTACAGTTGGGAAATGGAAAGAATATTTCTGTAAGTTTCATTCTTTTGCCATTCGTAGATTATGATAGACTTAAGTAATTTTACAATAGTTCATGTAAATAATGATACTGTGTTACTCCATTAAATTTTCATTTCATAACCATGGTTTACATATTCAACTTAAGATTAATTTAAATGGGACAAAGAGATAAACATTGGAATTGGAAACAGCTGAAGTTTCAATTTGGTGTAGATTTTGTCAATAACATGTGACATGCCTGTAACGTGTGGAACAGTAGAATGATCCGTTTTAGAAGAGAAAATAATTAGCTCTAGGAATATAAAGCAAAATTTGCAAAATATTTGGGAAGTTGTATGGTTCTATTAATACCAATTGTGACATTCTGTGACTTGTTGAGATTTTTTCGTCATGAATTTAAATGTGTCTACATTCAATGATGGAGGATATGCAGGGGGTAGGAGTTAGCTGTTTCAATCCAAAACAAAAACAGTACCCTCTTGTCAATGGGATTGATGCAGCCAAAGACCCAAAAGATAAGGAAGATGCTAGGTAATTTTTCATTTATTTGTTAGTAACACCTGGTAAACTGTTCAACAATAACAAGAAACATTTTGATGCATTAATAGATTCTGCTATGAAGGCACCTTAGAGCCTAATAAGGTTAAGGGAAAGCTTGTTTACTGCGAATTAGGAACATGGGGCACTGAAGCTGTTGTAAAGGGAATTGGAGGCATCGGTTCTTTAATAGAAAGTGAACAATATCCTGATGTTGCTCAAATTTTCATGGCTCCTGCTACCATTGTGAATAATGACACAAGTGAAATTATTACCAAATATTTACAATCCACAAGGTAAAACATGCTCTTATTTGTCCTTTGAATGACCTTCGAGATTGATAAATAGCTACTTACCAATTTTTCTATCGTTAACTTGAACTAAATAGTTGTTAAAAGAGGAATGTCAGAAACACATTCTCTAACAGACTTTTAGTTATTGGTTGAAATTTTTGAAAATTACAAAATATGAGGGAGAAACATTAAATTTGGACCAAGAGTTGCATGATTTTTGTAATTTTAAATAAATTTTAGTCAATGATAAAATGTACTATTTGAAAAAGTTACAGTGTGTGTTGGCACCATTTCTCTCGTTACAAATTAAATCTTTTGATCAGATTATCTCACACCATATAGTTTACTTGAAATTATTGTTCAAATAAGATCACCATCAGCGGTTATATACAAAAGCCAGGAAGTACAAAAGCAAGCTCCATTCATTGCTACATTCTCATCTAGAGGTCCGAATCCTGGATCCCGCAATGTTCTCAAGGTATTCAACCTTCCTATAATTGGTGATCATTCTCTATTCTGCCAGTAACTGTGACCATAAAGCTGGTATGTAATGGACTAAGGATGATTTATAATCTTTTTGGTGTAGCCTGATGTTGCAGCTCCTGGCATTGACATCTTGGCATCTTATACTCTTATGAAGTCACTCACAGGTTTGAAAGGTGACACTCAATTTTCAGAATTTATTCTATTGTCTGGAACCTCTATGTCATGTCCACATGTTGCTGGAGTAGCAGCATATGTGAAGTCTTTTCACCCAGATTGGACTCCTGCTGCCATCAGATCTGCTATTATTACTACAGGTGCTTATTTAATAAGAGCTGATAACTTATTTTGATGAGTCTTACCATAAAATTTATTGAAATAAACTAAAAGAACTTACGTTAATAAGTCACTTTCACAAACTTGACCAGACACCTGCTAAGTATTTATATGGTGAGTCTAATTAAGTTTTGTAAAAACTCTCCCAGCCTCCTTTCTTAGTTGATTTGTTTTCATTATATGCATAATCTAAAAAGCATGCACCTCAAGTGATAGGAGCTAATAACTTATTTTTATAAGCCTTAACATGAAGTTTATTAAAATAACCTAAAAGAGCTTATTTTTAGTCACTTTCACAAACTTAACCAAACACCTGCTAAGTATGTATGTGATAAGTCTAAATAAGTTTTGCAAAAACTCTCCCAAATGCCTCCTTTCTTAGTTGAGTTGTTTTCAGCATTATGAAGAATCTGATAGCCTTGCACCTCAAGTAGTCATAAGTGACTACTTGAGATTTTTTTTGAGATGGCTAACATGTATATATATGATGATCTTTGTCAAGCCAAACCTATGAGCAAGAGAGTTAACAATGAAGCAGAATTTGCCTATGGTTCTGGTCAATTGAACCCAACAAGAGCTGTGAGCCCTGGTTTGGTGTATGACATGGATGACTTAGCTTATATTCAATTTTTATGCCATGAGGGTTACAATGGTTCTAGTTTTTCAGCATTAGTTGGTTCTCCTGTAAATTGCTCCTCTTTGATTCCTGGGATTGGCCATGATGCTATCAACTACCCTACCATCCAATTCAGCTTGGAAAGCAACAAAGACACAAGAATAGGAGTTTTCAGAAGAAGAGTGACCAATGTAGGTCCTGCTCCCACCATCTTCAATGCCACCATTAGATCACCAAAAGGAGTGGAAATCACAGTGAAGCCTACTACACTCATTTTCTCTAAAACCTTGCAAAAGAAGAGCTTCAAAGTAGTTGTGAAAGCCACTTCTATTGCAAGTAAGAAAATTGTATCAGGTTCCCTTATATGGAGAAGCCCACGTTACATTGTAAGGAGCCCTATTGTTATCTACCGTCCATAATATTGTAGTTAGCACTTAGCAGTGACTAACTGTGCTTTTGAAGTTACCTTTGTAGCACTTGTTTTGCATAATGTTGACATTTTCTTTTATCATATGATTATGGATCTCTCCCGAGATCTGTATCTAATGCGATCATCAAATAAAAAGGGTGCTATCATTGATTCACATTTAGAACCATAAAATTCTATTTGAATTCTTGAGTTATGTCATTTTCTTAAATCCCAAGTTACTAGTGCTGATACTTTTTTTATCGTTTCGATGGTTGTGGATGCAAGTACTTATTGTATAACTTATTATTGTTAGTATTTTAATTTGTAAAAAAATATCAAATATAACTAATAAACTAATCATTGGCCTATACACTATCTTGTGCTTTCATGTTAAAAAATCTTACTATTTTATTGATTAAATACGCATTTAAAAATATAATAAAATCACGTTAAACTACATTTTATTTTATTTTTCTATTCAACTACATTTTAATTTAAATCTCATAACTTGTAACATTTAACTATTATTAATTTAATTTAAAGTTGGCTCTAATTAATTTTAAGCGGTTAAATATAATTAATATATATATATATATAAATTAATTTCAACTATACATTTTATTGGAATATGTGTTTATTTTATTGAAAATATGAAAATAAACAAGTAGTTATTTATTGGATCGAATAGGTCCCCTTGGGTATCCATTTTTTCTTCCAAATAACTTAACTACTTGAATCATTCTTTCTTATAATGATTCACAATATTTTTCAAAGGCTTATTGCATAAATATTTTTTATGAAATATAATTTGCATAAATTGAAGTCATGTACTAAAAGTTATATTCATTAAAAGTTTATAACTATGAACATAAAAAATTGTAAAATTGCAAAAATTTTTACATTAGTTGTTTTTATAATCAATATAGAAAATACTTTTTAATTTTGATAAATAGTGTAAAAAAGTTTGTATAAATTTTAAAAATATTATCGTATTTTTTTTTACATTAATTGTTCTTTATAAAAAATTTGTATAAATTTCAAAAAAATTAACGAAGAATCTTTCTATAAAAAATATTTTGTAGTAGAGAAGAAATGGTAGAGATTGAGGGTCCAAATCTCCTCTCATATGAAGCCAATCATGTGCCTTTCAGTGGTCAATGCATGTTATCCAAGAGATCATAGGTATGAATTTATTTTGCTTCAAGAACCTTGAGTGGTAATTGATGCACTGGACAAGTTATTTGAAAGAACTTTCAGAACTTCCGACAATTTAAAACTGGTCATCTTTCAAGGTCAGGTAAAACACTTTTTAAGTCCATTTTTTTTCTTTAATTTCCTTTGTTATGGAATTGTCTAAATTATGTCATGAAGTAAATAATTTTAAAATTTGATACAACTTCTAATTTTATTAGTTGACTTACATGATAACTAAGATAAACATGTGAATTTATTCATTTTTTAAAAGTTGTGTTGGTAAATTAATTATAATGATTATTTCAGGAGGTAATTATTGTGGATGGGTTGATTGATGTTGTGCACTATTTTCAACAAAATTGGAGTTTCATAACTTGCGATTCTGTTGATTGGAATGCTATATTTCGTACTTCTTCAACATATGATCATTTGGTTACCAATGTAGTTTCTTTATGTTGCAGTACACTTCCAAAGGTACAGATAACCTCAATACCTTTCAATTTGTTATCAAAAACTTGTTTATTTCATTTAATTATTTAATAAAGAAAAAAAATCACATGTTTACAAAAAAATAATTATATAAATTTTATTCAATGATATGGATACTATTTGAAATTTCTACTTATTTAATATATACACACACGTGCAAGTGGTGTCATTATTTTTTAGAAAATATTAGTATTATGATTTTTAAAAATTGAACATTTTTCTACTCAAATTTAAAATATTATCTCTTTTAGTTCATTCTTATTTTTTTTTACTTACTCCCTGTATTTAACTAAAAATGTATGTTTTTAATTGTGAGATTGATTTAAGTTTTTATTTTCATTTTTATGAACTAGAACTTAGAAGTTTTGTATTTTTTTTTAAAATACTAACAATGTAAATATACTTTATCTATCATATTTTTAATCATTTACTAAAATTTATTAAATAATTAAAATGACGTGAGAATCTACTCGATCTTATTTTAATTTATTTTACTCTAAATTGTTTATTTATTTATTGTTTCTCACTGTAGTTTTGCGCCACTAGTTAACACTCACAGTATATAAAGTTTTGTCCGATATGCTTCGGATACACTTGTTGATAACATAGCAAATGTAACACATTATTTATAATATGAATTAGAATTTTGTTAATTATTATTTTAGGATACATTGAAAATAAATAAATAATGTTTTTATTAAGAATTACGTTAAAGTTATGAAAAAAATTCTTTGTCACACTTTTGAAAAAAATGTTTTTTTTTAATTCTCTAAGAATATTGATTAATATTTTTCTTGTTTTAATTATTGTGCATTTTGTAAGACGCTTATTGTGCCTGCTACAGTTACGCAGTGCATGTAAATTCTCCATATTAAAAATTTATGATTTATTTATTATTTACATTTTTAAAAATTATTTTAAATTTTAAATTATTCTGTAATTCTGATAAAAAAAGCCAATCGAATGTGAAAAGAATATCCAATACAAACGAGCAAAACTACTTACATAGGCTAATCCACACAATCTCACACTAATTTTGTTTTTAAGTAAATGATTGAAATTGATATTTGACATAATAAAAAACAAATATAAAAATTATATTTAGATAAGTAACTTAATTAATTAAGTGTTTATAAACAAATTCCTCACTTGAAGTTATAAATTTGACCATAAAATTATTAAAATAATTAAAATAACTTATTTTAACATACGGCTGTTAAGATATACTAGAAAAAGCTGGTAAGAGGTAATAATTTACTTCTTTAAGTCCAAATAAATTTCCTAAAAGCTCTTCCAAACAATATTTAATCTTGATTTCAGTAACTATTAGTCAATTCCATGCTCAATGTTGGTGCTACTCAAAATTTTGTTTCTAAAATTGATTTGTGTAAGTTTATTTGGTCTATACATCAAGGGATTGAATTGACTAATAATAATGTTAATATCAGGACCAAAATTAATGTTTTACTTTTGTTTAATTTTTATATGATCTAATTTAAAGGAGAGAGAAATCTGAAAGAGACACAACAAGTAAACTAAAACATAGAAATTGCGAGATACCCGAAATACTGTTTGTGTGTCTGAATGAATAATTCAGTCCATTCCATAAGACAACAATTTCAATTTTGATGTGAATGCGTCCTTGTAAGAACAGTTTGTCCATGGGCCATATAAAGCATTTATTGGTGCATTGGCATTTTAAGCAAGAAACCACTCATTCCCTAAAGTTTCACACTAAATTATGTTCCAACTATTACCCAATAGCATGAAACATGCCAGCTAAACCTTTCTTAGGTCGTATAAACCTACATGGTTAAGTAAGTGTGTTTTATCAAACCTGAAAATAAAAGCATTAATTGCCCCTTTTTCATGTTAATCTAAGAAATGGTTCCTTCAAACTTTGGATTTCTTGGCGTGATCTTGTTGAAGGGTGGTGAATTAATATTTTCATGGACTTTATAGTAGTGAAAATATCTTGATCCATCACAGGATACGACTGCATGTATTTACTTTTTTTCTAGTACATACCCCATACCATAATGGTAAAAGTCTAAGAGATGCCCCTCTTTTACAGTGTTTTACAAGTGTTACATTTATGAATCTCTCCGTTTAAATTCAATTAATTATTGAATGTCTGTTTTTATATATGCGGAAAAAATCATATGTAAATTATAATATGGTTTTGTTAACTAATGAAATTGTCTTCAAGGTATTGATTAATAAATAAATAATTTTGTTAAGAGTTTAAGCTTTCAAAAGTAGTAAATTTTTATGGAAAAAAAGAAGTACTGATAAATAAATAAATATTTTTTTACTGAAAATCATGATAAAAGTGCATTACAAATCATGGTAATACTGCATTAATAACACTTTTTACAACCGCACTTAATTTTAAGGGTACAATTTATGGACTCAGAGAAGTTCAAATTAAAGAAGGAGAAATAGTACCTCTCAAAAAGAGAAGGTAGAAAGAGTAAAAGGAGTGCCTTAAATTGGACTCAAAGTACGAAACCACATAATATCACTACACTGAAAGTGCAAAATGGTCTGAAAATCTCAAGGAGTCAAGGAGAGAGCAGAAAATTTCTCAGATCCATGCTACATACAGAACTTGAAGTCTTAAACTAGTGGTCCTTTTAAAACAAAAGAAGAAATTTTACAAACACTAGCTGTGCCATTGATAATAATGTCAAGGTATGAACACTAGCCGTGACATTGGCAATAATATGAACACTAGGTGTGACATTGACAATAATAATAATAACTATAGCATTGACAGGAATGTGAACATGTTAATGAGAATTGAGGAGACGTCAAAAACTTCAATTCATTATATTCCTATTCACTAGTCTCCTAGAGCTTTTTAGCCCCACATCCCTTCTGTATCTGAAGCAAACACCCACGTGACTCAACTAACTTGAAATAAATGAGCTAGGTTGTCTCATGAAGCCCCATGATCTGTTATATTTCCACACATACAATGAAACTAAATCATGCATACTAGTCTATGGTTTAAGGTTATGAGTATTAAGTAAAATATATAGCTAATGGCAAAAGGGTGCAATTTTATTTCCATATAGTTTCTCATCACAGCATGAAACATTAAGGGACTGAGCCAATGAATCCAAATGAAGATGTTGACCAAATAAAGTCAACATGTAAGATGCTAGAACTCATAATACATGTAAATTTTCCATTGATAGGCCAAGTAAAATTTGTCATGACTCATAACTCATAATGCTGTCTCAACCATATGTTTACCAATGTCATAAATAAGACATAAAAAGGTTCTCCAAAGGGAAAAGTGTGCCATAAGTAAAATTGGAAAGTTGATTGATATAATTTTGTACAGACTGGAGAAAGATATTTCTATTTTCGACAGCCAACACCATATAGTTAGACTTTTTACCTCTCCATCTCTATATATAGCTTTAAAAGTCTTTGGATAACTGTCATCTAATTCAAAGAGTCCAATCTTGAAGTAGAGGAAAAGTAAAGAGAAGGTAAACTCTTTTCTATGATTGCATTAATGAGCATATATAGAAAGTTAAAGCTTACACTTTTTGTGCTTATTTGAGATGTGATGTGACGAGTTATTAGCATTCCTTATTCAATAAACTTTTTCTCGTGCTCTTCTGCTAAGCCCAGCTAGGTATGGACCGCTACCTTTATCTATCGATGAGCTCTATCTCACTGTATAATTGTATTAATTGCATAGCTAATTTGCCTACTCACTAGCAAAATTTCTTTTTAATCATCTACATTTGAAGGTACACAATGTTTTAAGATTAGAGATGCATTCGTAGCTAAGAATTATGTTTATGTTTGAAAGCAAAATATGGCAAAGAAAAATACTCTATAGCAGTTTGGAAATAGTATCCTATCACTACTTTAATTTTTGTTAAAATGAAGATTCTTATGCGTAGGTATTAAGACCTTTACCAGCCATGAAGTGTTCTACTCTTCATTTTTTGCAGGCATCATGATCTTTAGGATACTTATCCTAGTCATGGCCTACATGGTGACAAATTCAATAGCTCTCTCGGACCAACAGACATACATTGTACACATAGACAAGACCAAGATCAGAGCCTCAATTCATTCTCAAAGTAGCTCAAAACCTTGGTTTGAATCAATCATTGATTTCATTTCTGAAGCTTCAATAGAAAAAGAAGCAGCAGAAGACAAAGAGATTTTGCCCCCTCAGCTCCTTTATGCCTATGAAAAAACCATGTTTGGTTTTGCTGTCCAGCTTTCCAAGAGACAACTTAAATATTTGAACCAAGTTGATGGTTTCCTTTCAGCCATACCTGATGAACTATCAACCCTCCACACAACATACACCCCACATTTCCTTGGCCTAAGGAATGGAAGAGGACTTTGGAGTGCTCCTAACTTGGCCTCAGATGTGATTATTGGAGTCCTTGATTCAGGTATATGGCCTGAACATATCAGTTTCCGAGACTCAGGTTTGTCCCCAGCACCTTCTCATTGGAAAGGTGTTTGTGAACAAGGAACCAAGTTCTCTGCCTCAAATTGTAACAAGAAGCTTATTGGTGCAAGAGCCTATTTCAAGGGGTATGAGAAGTATGCTGGAAAAATCAATGAAACAGTGGATTATCTTTCCCCAAGAGATTCCCAAGGGCATGGAACACACACTGCCTCAACTGCCGCCGGTGATATAGTAAAAAATGCAAGCCTTTTTGGATTGGCTAGAGGTTCAGCCAGTGGAATGAGGTATACCTCAAGAATTGCAGCTTATAAAGTATGCTGGCCTTCTGGTTGTGCTAATTCTGATGTATTAGCTGCAATGGACCAAGCAGTTTCTGATGGGGTTGATGTTTTATCACTCTCTTTAGGGAGTATTCCCAAGCCTTTTTACAATGACAGCATTGCCATAGCTTCATTTGGAGCAATCCAAAAAGGGGTTTTTGTTGCTTGCTCTGCAGGCAATTCAGGCCCCTTTCAATCAACAGTTGGAAATGGTGCTCCATGGATCATGACTGTTGCTGCTAGCTACACCGACAGAAGCTTTCCAACAAAAGTAAAGCTTGGAAATGGAAAAATCTTCAAAGGGTCATCTCTATACCAAGGCAAGAAGACAACCCAATTGCCCCTTGTCTATGGCAAATCAGCAGGCACAGAAAAGGAAGCTCAGTATTGTACAAGAGGCTCACTTGATCCAAAGCTTGTGCATGGAAAAATAGTTGCTTGTGAAAGAGGAATAAATGGTAGAACTGAAAAGGGAGAGGAAGTTAAAATGGCAGGTGGAGAAGGAATGATACTTCTTAACACTGAAAATCAAGGAGAAGAGCTTTTTGCTGACCCTCACATATTGCCAGCCACTTCCTTGGGGGCTTCGGCAAGTAACATTATTAGAAGCTATATTCAATCTGTTAAAAAACCAACAGCTTCAATTTCCTTTATGGGCACAATGTATGGGGACCCTGCACCAGTAATGGCGGCATTTTCTTCTAGAGGACCAAGTATAGTGGGACCAGATGTGATTAAGCCAGATGTGACAGCACCTGGTGTGAACATCTTGGCTTCTTGGCCATCCAGAATTAGCCCAAGCTTGGTCATGAGTGACAAAAGAAGAACACTATTTAACATTCTCTCAGGTACCTCAATGTCTTGCCCTCATGTTAGTGGCATTGCAGCACTGCTTAAATCTTTTCATAAAGATTGGTCACCTTCAGCGATCAAATCTGCTCTTATGACTTCTGCTTACACATTGAACAATAAAGGAGCTCCAATTTTAGACTTGGGCTCAAAGAATTCATCTTTTGCTAACCCCTTTGTATTTGGTTCAGGCCATGTTAACCCTGAGAGTGCTTCTGATCCAGGGTTAGTCTATGATATCACCACTAAAGACTATATAAATTACTTATGCAGCATAAACTATACCTCTTCCCAGGTTGCTTTATTATCAAGAGGTAACTTTAGGTGTTCTAATGAAGCAGTTTTTCAAGCTGGTGACTTGAACTACCCTTCATTTTCTGTTTTATTTGGAGGAAGTGCCTTAAATGCTAGTGTGACATACATGAGGGTAGTCACAAATGTTGGAAAACCGCAAAGTGCTTATGCAGTTAAAATGGAACAGCCAAATGGAGTCTCAGTTACTGTTGAACCAAGGAAATTGAAGTTTAAAAAACTGGGTCAGAAATTGAGCTACAACGTGACATTTTTTGCATTTGGCACAAGAGTTATGGGTACCTCATCATTTGGGTCACTGATTTGGGTGTCTGGGAAATATAAAGTTAGAAGTCCTATAGCAGTAACCTGGCAATAATAAAAATCTTTCTGAAAGGCTAGTATTTGAGAGAAGCAAAGCTTATTTGATGACCCATTACATTATTGTTGAAAGTTATATCATGTGCATAATAAGCTCAATAGTAGCATAAGCATAATTTGTAATTTCTTTTTGCATTATTTATATTGTTTAGAATGATTCATTTATGTTAATTTTCTTTATATCTTATTAATTTATTCAGACTGATTTCATAAATTTTGTAATCATCCTTTAACTTGGCAATCCTATGAAAATTGTCCTCTTTGAAAATATTTTGTTTTAGATTATAAATTGAGTTGGCTAACCTACACTAATCTCTTGTAGGTTCTTTTTCACATGTTTTCTTTTCAGATGTTCGCGGCAATTTCTTAAATAAAAATGTAAAACGAGAGCAATATTCCAGAATCTAGGGAATATTTTAAAACAAAAATTTACTTCATTAAACAGAACAAGGAATTATCCTAAAGTGAGAATCAATCTGTCACATAAGAATCAAATCAAATTAGTCAACTTTATTGACAACAAAATGTAGTAACTTATACTTTAAAGCGACAAATCTCCTATTGTCAAAACCAATTATAGTCATGTATAACCGTCTCATAATTTTTTATAAACTAGTTGTACATTATTTTAATCTCTAAATAATAAATATCAATCCACTTAATCTTTAAATGATGTGGGTGATTTTAATAACTAAAATGATTGATTTTTCTAATAAATAAATAAATTAGAGTCTATTTTCTTCATAATTTTTAAAATTAAATTTAATAAATATTTATAATTTTAAAGATTAAAATCTCCGATTTAGTAATTTTAGCGATAAAAATAATTATTTTTTGATAATTTTAAGTACTAAATTGATAAATATATATAGTTTAAAAAAACTAAAACGTCTAATTTTATAATTTCAAAAATTTCAAACTTTATTTTAATCATTTTAAAGATTAATTTTGTTATAATTTCAGAAAAAAAATATATTTCTCGTTTGTAAAATGGAAGAAAAGCAGAAGCTGTCTCAATATTAAAAATAGTACTTTTATTACATAAAAAAGTTGTCAACAGCTCCGCAAGTTCCTCTGTAAGAACTCGAACTCTTCGAGAAGGTTATGAATTTGTTTCTTTCAGCTGTTTCCGGCCCATGACATCCAATCAGATTCATCCACGTGGAGGAACGACATGGACAACTGGTTGTATCGGTAAAAATACGCAAACTGAAAAGAAAAGGGAAGGTCTTACGTAACGTGTCATGCCGGTATTCCACGTGGACTTTGGTGTACCTCGTCACCTGCTGACTTGGTGTGTTGGGAGGGAGACACTTCTTCTTCTTCTTCGATTTTACTATTTTCCTAATCCCCAGAATCTTCTTCTTCAACGAAGGTAAAAATCTCATCTTTCAGCTAAGTTTCTTCGTTTGATTGAATACCCATTTTAATTATCATAGCAATCTTCCAAATTTTCCATAGTTACTGTTTGATCAATATCAATTATCATCCTTCAGGCTTCAACCACTGCAATTCACTTTCTCTCTTTTTAATTCTCTATCTGCGTGCATTTCTCTTGTATAAATTGAAATCCAATTGGCACGGTTCTTGTTTAATTGATTATGATTTGATGATGCACTCTTCTATGACCCTTTTGTATTGAGAACCAAAATTTGATCATTTTTCTTTGTTAATAATAACACAAAGGTGAGAATTTTGTGTTAAATAAAATGGACAATTATGGGTCATCCTCTCCGTACCGATATCCAAACCCATATATGTACCCTCCCAACCCTCATCCACCATACCCACCTCCAGGTTCAGGTCCTGATCCACAACCACATGTTCCTTATCCATATCCTTACATTTCTTCACATTCATTCAACTATTCCTATCCTCCACCTCCTAGACCTTCCTCACATTCTGGCCCATTGGAGTATTCCTATCCCCCTCCTCTCCCTTTGGACTTTCCCTACCCTCCACCATCTTATACTCATTCCCCATCTTATCCTTATCCCTACCATGTTCCTCCAGGGAATCATGCTTCTCCCAGGCCTTCCCTTTCACACCATGCTAGTTTGCAACATGGATCATCTCAGTACTATTATCAACAAAATGAATCATATTCATCGCCGGAAGGCCGTCCAGATGCCCATTCACGTGCCAATAGCTTCTCTAGTGCCTACTGGCAGGGGAACATAAGCACCCCAGGTGGTGGAGTATCACAGACTAGTGATAACTCCAAGCCATCTCAGGGTTCTGCTTACCCTCCTTTGGATGATCTCATGAGCAATGTTCAGTTGTCTGATGACAAGCCAACTGCACTTGCATCACCATCTGCACCAGCAGTGCAACCACTGACGCATTCCATTTCAGTTCCAAAGTTACAACAGAAGAAGGAGGAGTTTTATGGACATTCCAATAACTCCTTCTCAGGTTGGGGGTCGTCATACCCTGCTCGGGTGGATTCATCTAAACTCTCAGACTTTTCTGGCTCATTTAATGAATCAGTGCATAGTCAGAGTTTGCAGATTGTTCCACTGCAGAATAAAGGGTCCTTGAGAGTTTTGCTCCTACATGGAAATTTAGATATTTGGGTTCATGAAGCCAAAAATCTTCCAAATATGGACATGTTTCACAAAACATTGGGGGATATGTTTGGTAGATTACCTGGTAGTGTGAGCAATAAAATTGAAGGAACTATGAATAGGAAGATTACCAGTGATCCTTATGTATCAATTTCCATATCAAATGCTGTAATTGGGAGGACTTATGTCATTAGCAACTGTGAAAATCCTGTTTGGATGCAACATTTCTATGTTCCTGTTGCACATCATGCGGCTGAAGTGCACTTTGTCGTTAAAGACAGCGATATTGTGGGTTCACAGCTCATTGGTATTGTGGCAATTCCAGTGGAACAAATATACTCAGGGGAAAGAGTTGAAGGAGCCTACCCTATCCTTAATAGTAATGGGAAGCCTTGTAAGCAAGGTGCTGTCCTGAGCCTATCCATTCAGTATATACCAATGGAGAAACTGAGCATTTATCACCAAGGAGTTGGAGCAGGCCCTGAATACATTGGGGTTCCTGCCACATATTTTCCTTTGAGAAAAGGTGGAACTGTTACTCTATATCAAGATGCTCATGTTCCAGATGGCAGCCTTCCCAATGTAATGCTTGACAATGGGATGTATTATGTTAATGGAAAGTGTTGGCATGATATCTTTGATGCCATAAGTCAAGCTCGGCGTTTGATTTATATTACTGGGTGGTCAGTGTGGCACAAAGTTAGGTTAGTCAGGGAGACTGCTGGTTATGCATCAGATTATACCCTGGGTGATCTTCTGAGGTCAAAGTCACAGGAAGGAGTAAGAGTGCTTCTACTTATTTGGGATGATCCTACATCAAGAAGCATTTTGGGTTATAAAACAGTAAGTAATACAACTTTTTCTGTTACATTTCCTTGCATTTCCATACTTGAGAGGGCTGGTAGGATTTGGTTGGCAATTGTCTGCATGTGCAAAACCTTGCCTTATGTTTGTTATCATGAATACACTTTTTATATCTCTTTGGACTTTGTTAATTGTAACTAGTTTTAAAGAATTAGATTTTGGTTTTGATAAACAGAAAGTTAGGACAAGAATTATTGTTTAAGAGATACTTGGTTTTGGGCAAGTGGGCAGCAGAGGTGGGGTACTGATTCCATAGCACATTTTTCTTGGTCCATTAGTTTCATACCTCCTCCTGTTAATGTTTGTTTCTGTCCATCCATTGGCTAATGGTTTCTAAATCAGAGTTGAACATCTTCAAACTTGTTGACATTTGGATGTCTGTACATTTATAACTTTGCCTTGTCATATTTTTAAACTAGGATCCTGTATCTAAAATCTGTCTTGGAAGTCAAACTAACTGACAGTGAACCTGTCGATGCTCTTAGCTAGATGGTAATATACATAATATAAGTGACCTAGCAAATCCATTCTTTCATCCTATGCACTAATACTTTTTTTTGTGTGTGACTGCTGATATTTACTTTATTTCAGGTAAGATTTAGATTCTGGAGTGAATCTTTTTTGTTGCTGTAATCAATATGAATATAATATTTATATTTTCCCTTTAGCTTTAATTTTGAAAAACCCTTGGGACTTTTCAGGATGGTGTCATGGCAACTCATGATGAGGAAACTCGACGATTTTTCAAGCACTCTTCAGTGCATGTGCTTCTTTGTCCTCGCATTGCTGGAAAACGACATAGCTGGATCAAGCAAAAGGTTAGGTTTGACTACCACGTTACTTATTGAAATATTCTTACATTAATTCATGCCCAGCTGTCTACAAATTGTTCTGGAATGTTGTTTCTCATTTATGTCATTCAGTCATTCTTTGAAAGCTTGCATTATTGGGATCTAAACTTATGTAAGATGATTTGCTTTGGCAATTGTGTACATTTAATCCCGCACTTATTACTGCTGATAGTGTAATCCAATTTGGTTACCTACCTAATTTTTTGTGATGACTGCACTGGATATAAGTATTTGATAACACAACTAAATAAATACATATTTCCTCATAAAATAAAATAAAAAATCAACAAGTCTTAATTAAGAGAGTTACATGCTAAGGTAGCCTCATGAATTTCTCTGTCTTCTTATCAGGAAGTTGGAACAATATATACTCATCATCAGAAAACTGTTATTGTGGATGCTGATGCTGGAAGTAACAGAAGAAAAATTATAGCATTTGTTGGTGGACTTGATTTGTGTGATGGCCGATATGATACTCCTCATCATCCACTCTTTAGAACATTGCAGACAGTACATAAGGATGACTACCACAACCCTACTTTTACGGTAATTGTTATTTCAGACTCCCTTGTTGTCCAATCAAGACTAATTAGCTAGAGTTATCCTTCAATATCTTGATATGATAAGCAAGGGATGAATGAAAGCGCATATGTAAAAATATAGCGCTAGAATGTATAAATTCAAGTTTGAAGTTCTAAATGAAGTCAATGCATATGCATGAAATATTTTCTATTTTTCTATAAGGAATATCAAGTCTTTATCCCTAAAGTTGATGTTTGGAAAATAGTGCAGCACACATTGAATTGTGGAATTAGCACCTGCTAGTGATATGATAAGCATATTATTAAAACAATATTTTTATTTAAATCCACCAAGCCTAATTGCATATCTGAAATTTTCCTGCAAAAACCACAATTTATGAAGGAATGTTTTTAGCTATATTTAGAATTTAGACAATTCAAATCATGGTGGACTCTGTCGGTAAGAATTAATATGGTGCAATTTCTAAAGATTATTGTTTGAAATATGTAGACCAATTAATTCGTATGATATGAGAGTAATATCATAACAGGGTAGTGTTGGTGGTTGTCCACGAGAGCCATGGCACGATTTGCATTCTAAAATTGATGGTCCAGCAGCTTATGATGTTTTAACTAACTTTGAGGAGCGCTGGTTAAAAGCTTCAAAACCTCACGGGATTAAAAAGTTGAAGATTTCATATGATGATGCTTTGCTAAGCCTGGAGAGAATTCCGGATGTTATTGGCATCACTGATGCTTCTAGTGTTGGTGATGACAATCCTGAAGTTTGGCATGTTCAGGTAATTACTTATTTAATAATACTCAGCAGGTAATTTGACTTTTCTGGAAGCAATTATTTTCTTTTGTGCTAAAATGAAAAAAAAAATAAAATCTATTCTCTTTGGAATGTAGATATTTCGTTCAATTGATTCAAATTCCGTTAAGAGGTTTCCAAAGGATCCAAAAGATGCAACTAGCAAGGTGAATGAAAGCCTTGTTTCGAATTTTAGTTTTTGGACTTGGTTTAACTCATCAAAATTGTGTTATATGCACTATGAGAATGTTAAATTTTATTGTATTTTACAGAATCTAGTATGTGGAAAGAATGTGCTGATTGACATGAGCATACATACAGCATATGTTAAAGCCATTCGTGCTGCACAGCATTACATTTATATAGAGAATCAATATTTCATCGGATCTTCATATAATTGGAGTCAACATAAAGACCTTGGTATGGAACTCCTCTTGATGCATAACTGTCAGTTAAGTGTGAATGCTTGCATCTGGTACTATCCTGAAGATTTTGTAGAACATAAACTAAGACAGTGTATCAGCTTTGGTATAGAAAAACAATCTTTCAGATGTATGGTATTTTTTTAGTTGTTGGATTTATATACATAATAGGCTTTGGAAGTTACACAAGTATATTATAACCAATAGATCATATGTGTTGATATGTACATTTGTAACTGCTGTTTATTTTACTAATTTCAAGTGGAGGGAGAAATTTTTATGTTTCTGAATGAATATTTTGTACGATAGGCTTTACAAATTATTGGCCGGTGCCTATGATTAGTTTCCTGAAGTAGAGAAAAGTTACAGCAACAATAAAATGCAATAAAATTAGCCCTGATAAAATAAAATAAACAGCCAAATTTACAATTCTACACATTGTTTCATAGTTTCCAGAAAAAACTTATTGAAAAATGAACTATAAGAATGCTCAAGACAAGCTTCTATCAACTGTTATCTTTTCTATGTTCTCTATCATTTACTGGTTGAATCTTGAAAAAATATTGCTAAATGCGATTTACATGCCACAAACTTATTTTGAAAATATTTTTTTATATTAATTTTCATGTTTTGGCAGGTGCTAATAACTTAATCCCAATGGAAATTGCTCTAAAGATTGCTGAGAAGATAAAAGAAAATGAGAGATTTGCAGTGTATATTGTCATTCCAATGTGGCCAGAGGGTGTTCCAACAGGGGCTGCCACACAAAGGATTCTATTTTGGCAGGTATGATTTAATACACTATAAGCAAACATTTAATTTATAAAGGATTTTACTGAACTATTTAATTGGTTGGAATTTGAAATTGTTTACTCTGATGTCAAATTGTGTATCAGCTCTATCTTATCATATTAGATCATCTTCTTATTCTATCCTCCTGTTTCAGGTGCCTGTTATACTGAAAAAGGATTATAATGTATAGTCATGCAAAAGAGAATACCATTGTGACCATCATGATTTTAAAGAACTAGAATAACATCCTTTTTCTTTTTCATTCAATAATTGTGATTTCATCATTCCAAACTGCTGAGGTATAGAGGAAAAAGAAATTGGACTCCCTTAAATTATTCCTAAACTAAGATATCTTTATGGCCTGTCAAATTAGGGGTAGGACTCAACTGTTCAAAACTTGTGGTTGCCTGATGTCAAAGAGAACTTTGTAGCAGCTGCTGCTACTTGGTTATGTCATTGTTAATGTAATATTTTTTTAAAATTGCAGAATAAAACAATGCAAATGATGTATGAGACAATTTACAAGGCTTTGGTTGAGGCAGGACTTGAAGCAGCATTCTCTCCACAGGACTACTTGAACTTTTTCTGTCTCGGCAATAGAGAGCCCATAAATATGTATGATAATGTCACTGTGACCGGAACTCCTCCCCCAGCAAATAGTCCACAAGTATGTTACTCACACACCCTTTCCCAGTTACATTTTTCTGCAACCATATCCATACCACATTTAAACTATGAATCCCACTATGTGAAACAGGAGTCCATATAAAATTCTAGACATCTAGTACTGAATACTGATGTTAGAAATAAATATTGCTTCCAGATAGCTGTCTGATATATTAGCATGTAAACTGCTCCTTGACACTAACATAGTTCTCTAATGCTCTATCCAAGTATCTTAATATTTTTAACTGAATTTCTTGAGAGATATTTTCCTGACAGTCTTTATAGCTTTCTAAATGACATGGAATCTCTATTTAGTGAATGCACTGGTAAAAATTTTGTATGTTGGTGCTCCATTTCCAGGCAGCTAGTCGAAATAGCCGACGCTTCATGATATATGTTCATTCAAAAGGCATGATAGTTGACGATGAATATGTGATATTGGGCTCTGCAAACATCAACCAACGATCAATGGAAGGAACAAGGGACAGTGAGATTGCAATGGGAGCCTACCAACCTCATCATACCTGGGCAAGAAAACATTCTTATCCACATGGACAAGTAAGCCTTTTTAACATTACTGTATGGCTACAAATATTTGTTTACTAAGATATTGCTAATATAATCAATTTCATGTTTCACTTTCGGTAGTCATGTAAAACATCATTAAATATTTAATAGTCGTGTAAAAATATCAAATCAAATTTCTCTCTTTTAAATTTCAATCAAGAGACAAAAAAATAAAGAGGATAACTCACTGCCATAAAAAACACTGCTTAAAATCCAGATGATAACTCCCTGCCATCAGAAATACAACTCTAATCAAAAAAAAAGAAAGGTTTGTCAAGAGATATGTATTCATAACTATGCAATGGTATACTACTATATGTCAATAGTTAAGATTTACAACTGTGTAATTAACTCTTGTTATATTGTACTCAGACTGTATTCTCTTCCTGACAATCCGAGGCATAAGCAATTAAAAAAAAACTTAAATGAACTAAGTTTGATTTTGGTTTGATTTGATTTTTTTAACATATATGTTACTGAATGCATTAACATGTATTATATTGATAATGTGCCATGTAGATCCATGGATATAGGATGTCACTTTGGGCAGAACATACAGGAACAATTGAAGACTGCTACTTGCAACCTGAGAGCCTTCAGTGTGTGCGAAGGGTCAGAGAAATGGGTGAGATGAACTGGAAACAATTTTCAGAAAATGAAGTAACAGAAATGAGAGGGCATCTACTGAAATACCCAGTAGAAGTTGATCGAAAGGGCAAGGTTAGACCCCTTCCAGGCTATGAAGAGTTCCCTGATGTGGGAGGAAAAATAGTTGGATCTTTTCTTGCCATGAAGGAGAATCTAACCATTTGATGAGTTGATCACTTTTTCTTTCAATTCTGCTAGGAACTAGGATAAAATGTATGTAAACTACAAAATAGAAACAATTTTGAAAAGCATGATAGTTGAAGAAACACATACAGTGTATAGTAGTACACACTCAGGTTATTCTTTTTCCTTTTTTAGAGGATTAACATGCATTACAACCTGTCCCACCACATTCTTGATTATCATAGTAGTACACTTATCCTGGGAAAAATTTCCCAAAATCAATCTGGTTTTTGTGCGTATATACTTTACAGGAAGTGGATTTGTTTTGTAATTTACACTGCCAAGGTTTGATATGATAACATCGTTCTCTGCTCTACTTAAAAATCATGATCTTGGTTGATTTTGTTCTCTTATTTTGATTTGGTGATCATGTGTCGTACTCTTATTTAATTTTATTTTGGTAAACCAAAATTCATATCGTGAGTCCAGGGAAGGGGTCGGGACAGGGAAAGGAAAATTAGGCAGCATTGACAGGGAAGGAACACTGCCAATCCGAATATGAATTTTCTTTTGAGCTTCCATTGATAATATAAACAACAGCTTCAATTTGCAAAGAAAAAGTTAATTAATAAAATGAAAATCCCAACCTAAAGTCTAAACAAGCATCATTTTGGTGGTGCAAAATTAGAGACGCAAGTGACAGTTGTAAATTTATGGTCTCTATCCAGGGTCATTGTTTCCGCCACATAAGGTTGTCACCTTAACTTACATAATCAATGGACCTTACACACTTTTAACTGGTCAAGAACTGAACCAAATATGTCCTAAACGCCTGAACCAAAAAAGGTGCATTACTTTTGTTGTTAACCTCCTAAGATTTTTCTGTGCATTTTTCCTAAGACACCATACAAGTAAAAAAGTTGGATACAGCCAAGTTATAGAGATTTTTCATGGGATGTTTACAAGCTTAGCACGTCTAGTTCTCTGATCCACTTCCACTCGGAGACCAAGTGCAGCAATTTCAGGCACATCAGCAGATCCCTGAAGCTCCAATTCAGCAACTACCTTTTGGTTCTCCTCATTGCCCTCCAACATATTCCTCACACACCATATGCCCCATTCTCTCAAGAAACGATTATCTTCATCAGTAACACACTGTTGCAACAGCAATAAAATTCCATTCTTTTGCCGGATTTCATCTTGTGCATGCTTCGTTCTATACACACAATTTCCAATAAGCGCTACTACGTCTCGCCTAAAACCCTTGTAAGGGCATGGTTTTGAGGAACATCTAGCACCATTTTCATTCTCAAATTGTTTGATTCCTTTTCTGATTATTGCTGGAGGTTCAAGGTCCCCAAGCAAAGACAAAAGCAACTCTATGAGGCCAAATGGCAATAGCACATCAACAAAATCCTTTGCATCCTCCTTATTACCTCTTACATTTTGAGCACAAATGTCTCTCAATATGGTTATAGAGTAGCCAAGAACATCAATAGCAGCAGAGCCACTAGGAAGACCAGAGTTTCCTCTAATTGCATGTTCAAGAACCCCAATAGACTTCTTCAATATTCCAAAAACAAACAATGCAACATCATTCGACACAGTAACATCTCTGAGCTGCTCATTCAAGATTTCTGATAGAATTAGCAGAAGAAACGCTTGTTCAGATGAAAACTGATCATCTCTTGACTCGGCAACTTCACCCTCAGGAGTGTCCACAAACCATAATTTAGAAAACAGCACAGGCAATTGAGATTCTTCAAGGCAGATTCTTGAAAGAAGCAATTTTAACCAATCCTCATCAGAACCAGCTGGTTTAGTAGAAGAAACCAAAGTGTTACAGCTTGAAAACTATCATAAGTATACAAGCAATAAGCTGCAAAACTACAAAAACAAAGCAAGCATTATCCCACAAATTGAGGTTCAATAAATGAATAACCCGATGTCATTGTGTGTTGTCAAAAACCAAATAATTAAAAAGACCATTTAAACAAAAGAAAATAATTACAAGGGGGAAAAAAAGGCAAACAAATAATTAATTCAACAAAATCAGGTCCCCAGCTTAAAAACCCTCACAACCCCGAATAACATAATAGAAAAAACAGCAAAGTACACACGCAAATAAATAAATAAAACTAATAACTGACCAGAAGCAGCAGTCCTCACAATTTCTTCAATCACAAGCCAATTATCATCATCACTAGACAACTTGCTAAACCATTCAGGGCGTCCATCACAACATGTATAAATCACCATACACAAAGGGTCACAAATCTCCTTAGAGCCAAGTCTTGCAAGAGAGACAAACCCAAGCAAATATAGCTCTTCCCAAATAGCACGCTGATGCTGTTTCCCAGCCAAAGAAACATTTGCCAGAACCTGCAAACCCCAACGAAGCAACCCATGATCAGGGCCAGAAGAACCAACCTCTGACTTCAAAACACTGGAAACAAGAACCACCCCATTAAGCTCAAGAAACGAACCCTGATTTGCAGGTTCACCAGCACACAAGTTTCTAAGGAGCTTGAAACACAGAGAGAGAACATCATGATGATGATGATGATGATTGTGAGAAGCATGAGTGAGTGAGTGAACTATATTCAACACTGCAGGGAGAACCCTTTTGGAAGCTAAGTCCAAACGCCCAGAATCATATTTTGCATTCTGAATGAGAATCTCTAAGGACTCTTCCAAGGTAGAAGAGTTGGAAACTTGAAAGAGTAACTGAAGGGTATCTTCTAATACGGGGTACTTCAAAAATTGTGCATCACAACCCATTGCTTGATTGAAAGAAAAATGTGAAATTTCAAAATGAAAATTGGATTTTGACGAAGAAGTCGAACACCCCACAATCTAATTGGGTGAGACTGGCAGAAATAGACGCAAAAATGGAAGAAATTGCCGGAGAGGATTGGCGGTTTCTTATTATAATTTTATTTTAAATATTAAAATATAATAAAAGTTCATAATTTAGAAAAAATAAAAGTATTTGTCTGTTTTTTTAATTATGAATTTCACTATCTTTTAATCTTTAAAATGTAAATTAAAAACAAAATTAATAAATAAACCGTTCAATTTTTTTTCATTAATAATTTAACCCTATGTTAATGCAATGAGTTAGTTTTGTAAAATGGATAATATTTAAAAGCTAATTTAAATAAATTTAAATTTAAAATATTTATTTAAAATTAATGTAAAGATAAATTAATATAAATTTAAACTTAAAAATTTATATACAAAAGATAAATTTTAAAATGACCTACAACAAAACTAAATTTCAAGATATCCATTAAAAAAAAGGGGATGAAAATAAATAACTCCACAACAATCTTAGCTAAAAGTGATAAATTTTTATCATAACAAAGATCTTGATTTATTGCAACTATAATATTGACACACTTTCTATTTGATTTGATTTGAAGATATAAAAAAGATCTAAGAAAGCAAGAGTTATTGAACCCTGTCCTTGGCAATTGGAGAAATAATTTATAAACCTTCAAAGTGACTGTAAACACAACTTGCTATTTGTATCTCTGTTCTGAAGGCACAATACATGCAACTGATGAACCTATCTCTTTTCCTCTTTCTAATTGTAAGGTTGCCCCATTCAAATTATCAACAACCAATATATCCTTTACCTTTAGTAGAACTCGGGTAGATATTTCAGATTCCCTACAAATTGCTAATGCTGAGAAAGCAACAGAAAAAGTTAAGGATGATTTTGTGTCGTCTAATTTCGGTACACCTATTGCTACTAATACGTTGTCAAGAGAACTAATGCTCATGAAAACATGTTAGCAGCAGGTTAACCAGTGAGGTTTTCCATACAAAGGTCATTCTCCAATTTCAACTCCCAACTCCAATAGCATCATCATCTGGACTTGGTGTTGTTACTGATCATTTTGAAAACATTTGAAAGTGTTTCTCAGTCTTCAATTGAATCTCCAAAATGATGTTGGTATAATGGTCAGCACAATGCATGCTTTTTCAGAATTACTTGTGCAAACGTGTATGGATGGAGTAGATTCATACAATGAACAAGGTTGTGGTGTGATTATGATCCAGCAAATAATCAATAGTCTGAATATTTTTGCTCGAAAAAAAGTGGCCAACAGATTCCAACCCTTGATTTAACTCCTGCAAATACTCCATCTGATTGGTCATTAGAGCTTTTGTATGGTATGTTTGAATTTATGTCATTTCTTTTCTGCTTAATCTTTATTGTTCTTGAAATTGACAAGCGTATGTCTACATTCAAGGTACTTGAACTTACAAGCATAGAGAGCCTTAATGTTCCACATAAGCTTTATCTGCAAAATGATAATGAGGGGGAAAACAGGGTTATCAAAAAGGTTGGTCAGCATGGACAAAGATTAATAGCATCTAGCAGTGATGAAGACCAGTACACAGGCAATGAAAGTACTCAGGTACCTGAAGTTTTGTCTTAATCAGAATCCAATCAGGTTTTATGTTTTTCAAAATCTGAAAAGAATGTCTGCATTATTGTAGCTGCGGTCATTCGGAAATGTCTTGGGAAAACTCTGGAATTTTACAAACAAATGCATTCAGTTATTGTTTTGGAATTTATGCTTAATTCTGAAGCAGAATGTTGTTATAGGAAATATAAAACTTGTCATTACCTTATGGAATGCTATCAATGTATATAAATTGTTAAATGTTTGGCTTTTGCAACAAAATTACAAACATTTCATTGAGCGAGAAATATTGTTATAGCAATTTAACCTGTGACAATGTCTGGAAATTTTTATTATAATATAAACTTGTAGAAAATCGATACAAGTATATGTTCTTCTAAGACAGTAAAAATAACTGAAATTTTAAAGTTTAAAATTTATACATAGAAAAGATAAATTTAAAAATAATTTATAACAAAATTAATTGCCATGGTATTCATTTAAAGAAAGAGGTCTACGAGTCAGCAAGAATCTTGTATAAATGTGATAAGTCTGACCGTCATAAGAATCCTAATTTATTGCAACTAAGATATTGATCCACTTTGTGATTTTAATTTAATTTGAAGCTATCAGCAAAAACCCAAGAAACTAAGTGTCACTGAACGCTCTCCTTAGCAAGAAGCTATATATAGACCTCCAAGGTGAATAGAATCTCACACGCTTTGACAGTTGCATTTGTTTGAGTTTCGATACTCCTATTACGATTAATGTTTATAAATTGCTTAATGTTTGACTTTTGAAAGTAAATTGCTAAAAAATGTTATACCAATTTGATGTATTATACTTTCTTTAGTTTTTTTACAAGAAATAAAAGAATAAATTATAATAATCAAGAAAAATAATTAAATCTAATATGTTTTTTATAAATATAAATTTTATTCTAAAAATATCTATGATATTAAATAATATAGTTAGTAATTTTTATATTTAATAATATTAATAAAAAAAGAGTATAAAAGAAATTTAACAATTAATGTATCTTGAATTTATCGTTTATTTTTATAATTAAGATTGAGAAAATACTTCATCTTATTTTTTATAAAAAAGACTGGAAGATATAATTTTATTATAATATAATCTTATAGAATATCAGTACAATAAATAAAGTGTAAGTTCTTCTAAGTAAGTGAAAAAAAATCATTTTATCTACGTTGTTCATCATTATCTTATAATGAGATTATTTAGACTTCACGTACTTGTACCAAAGAAAATATTGCATCCTTGGGACTAGTTCTATGACTTCTATCAAGCTCCAAGTTACAATAAGCGCATCTATAGTTCATATTGCATTAACCCTTGATATAATGATAAATAAATTAACATTCATGATTAATTACTTCACATTTATAACACAAGTAACTTGAATAAAAAGCTTAGGGAAGCAAAAATTTGAAGACATTTTTCTAGGTTTAATTCATGACAAGTGTATGCTTAGGTATCCTAAAAAAATTTTATAATTGTTGTACTCAAAAAATTTAGACTAATAAAAAAGAGATATGTGTCAAATTAAAAAAATATTATATATAATTTATTTAAAGTTATATTATTTATTATTATTATTATTATTATTATTATTATTATTATTATTATTATGTATATTTAATTTCTTATTTTATTTATTTATATTTTTTATTTTAAGACTATTTAATAAATAATATAATTTTAAATAAATTATATAATAATTATTTTTAACGTAATATGTGTCTCCTTTTTATTAGTCTTAGATACGGTATCTAAAAATTTTTTTATGTTACCACTTAATTTACCTTATTTTTTTCATTCCTCACATGCAATTTTGATACACTCTGTAATTAATTTGATTATAGTTTCAAAAAAGCAAGACTACTTGAACTCCTTAGCAACGAAGCTATATGTTGACCCTTTTTAAGTGCTATATGGAGACCTTCAACGTGAATGGAATCACACACTTAGACTTTTGAATTTGTTTGAGTTCTGATACTCCTTCTAGAGTACTTCTGTTGGTGTTTAACACTTACAGATTAGTATTACACAGCAAAAAGATGATGAAGAATCGGAACACGCAGGTAGCTTTGTTCACCACATCACGTTTGTCACCGTTGGCCAAACCTTTCACGTTCAACGGTTCCACCTTTCAACCCACTTCAAGTTCTCTTTTTGATCACTACCCTTTTCACCAGTTGTCAAAACAACGTGAATTTGATATTGTGAAGGATTTTTCACTGCCCACTTTCTCACCTCGCATTACTACTGCTTCAGTTGCTGTCACCGGCATGTTTGAGAAAGGTACTTATTTTGTTTAAATGACTAAGGTTTTTATGTTTGAATGTAATGATTGTGTTACACTTTTTTTGTATATCATCCATGTTGACATTGATTATGGTTTTCTTGTCTTGATTCTTGAGGGCAATGTTGATTTATGTATACTTTTTGTTTACTTTTACGTTGATATCTTTTTTTTTAAGTCTTAATCTGATGTTACTTAGAAAATTTTATTTAAAGAAAATAGGATCAATTATTGAGAAAATTGTGGAATATATGTACAGTTAAGCATGCTGCTGATGGGTTGAATCCTTCTCTAGCAGGATCCGATGATGTTTACCCAACAGGCTCTGATACAACTGTGGCAAAAGACACTCCATCAAAATCTAATGGCACAATACTTGCTGCTGATGAATCTATCTCCTTTCCTAGTTCTAATGGTAAATTTGCCCCACTCAAATTGTCAACAATTGATATTTCTTCTGCTAAAAACAGCCCCCAAAATCAGTCTTCTGAGAATATAGGTGAAAGTGACTCTGATGTGGATTCTCCTTGTTGGAAGGGAACCATGACCTTTCCTCGTAGTCCAATAGAAATTTCAGAATTGCCACAAATTGGTAATGTTGAGAAGGCAACAGAAAAACATAACAATTTAAATCCTCTGGCTCCTCATTTCTTTCCTGGTATTAGATACATAAAGGATGATTTTGTGTCTTCCAATTCCTGTGCACCTGTTGTCACTAATATAGTGTCAGGAGAAAACATGCTTGTGAAAACCGTTACGGCTGAATACCCAGTAGAATTGAATAACGGAATTGAGGTTCAGCAATCTGGTAACACCTGTGGAATGGGAAAGGAATTCAATATGTCTAATGATCCAAAAAGTAAAGATTCCAAAGCTATCAAGTCAGTCAGTGAGGTTTTCCCCACTAAGGGTCTTTCTCCAATTTCAGTTCCAACTCCAACAACATCATCATCATCTGGAGTTGGTGTTGTTACTGATCTTTTGAAAACATTTGAAGGTGTTTCGAAGTCATTGATAGAATCTCCAAAACCTGATGTTGGTATAATAGTCAACGCAATGCATGCTCTTTCAGAAGTACTTGTGCAAACGTGTATGGATGGAGTATATTCATACAACGAACAGGGTTATGATGTGATTATGATCCAGCAAATACTCAACAATCTGAATGCTTTTAGCTCGAAAAAATGTGGCCAACAGATTTCAACTCCTTTAAATAATCCATCTTGTAAGGTGTGTTTGAATTTTTCTCTTCTACGTTCTAAGTAATTTATTCGTGCCATTTTTCTTTTCTGCTTAATATTTATTGTTCATGAAACTGATATGTGCATGTCTACATTCAAGGGACTGGAACTGACAAGTATAGAGACCTTTAATGTTCTACATAAGCCTTATCTGCAAAATGATTATGCGGGGGAAAACAGAGTTATCAAAGAGGTTGGTCAGCATGGACGGAGTTCTTTAGCATCTAGCATTGTTGAGGACCAGGACAAAGATAATGAAAGTACTCAGGTAACCTATGTTTTGTTTTAACCAGAATCCAATCAGGTTTTATGGTTTTTCAAACTCAGAAAATAATGTTTGAATTGTTGTAGCTGCAGATCATTAGGAGATGTCTTGGGAAAACGGTGGACTTTGATCAACAAATGCATCCAGAGGCTTTATTGTTTTGGAACTTATGGCTTGATTCTGAAGCAGAACGTTGTTATAGGAAATATAAAACTTACCGCTATCTTATGGAAGCTGGGATGGACGTAACTTGTGCAAATGTTGCAGTATCTCCATTTTCCCAAAGATCTTAGAGCATTTTATCTTTACTTCACTAGCTGATCATAACGCTTTCTGAACAGGATCTAATGTATCTATTTTTTAAGGAATACTATCAATGTAAATAAATTGTTAAAAATGTTCGGCTTTTGCAAGAAAATTATGAAAATGTGATTGAGCGAGAAACATTGTTATAGCAATTTATTATGTAATATTTGTCTCGGGAATTTTATTATAGTATTAACTTGTAGAAGATCGGCACAATAATGAAGTACAACTTCGTCCAAGACAGTATAAAAACTACATATTGTTTTCGTTGTTTGTTATTCTTTGCTGCATTTACAAACTCTTTCACTTGAGTTTTTTTGCATAATGGTTTCAGTGCATCAATTGAATAAAGAGAAGCACAGAAATAAGAAATAACCGCAACACTGAAAAATTAAAATAAGAAAGCCGCCACCAAACTAACTTTATTTTTTCGGAAGGATCTATCTTATTTTTAAGGCAAAAAAATGGTATTTAAAAGCCATATTAAGTTAATCATTTGACACATTAAAAGTTTATTAGGCTTAATTTAAATATAAAAATTAAACTCCGATGTATTTTGAGATTTTGTTTATGTCAGACTTCAATTAAGCATAACCTTGTCCAACAGCACAGTCATTTAAAATTCTTTTGAAAAATTAATGCTAAATAGTGTTAATTCTTGACTTAAATTACTTTTCTTTTTTGTACTATGTCATGATTTTTTATATTAATATAACTAGTTTTGAAATGTATGTTATCAAACACTATTTAGTTTTAATCTCTTACTTTCAAAGGCAAAAAGCATTTTCCAAATGGTTAAACTTTAAAAAGGTCAAATCGATGTAAGAACATTCAAACATAGAAGGGATGATCATGGAAGACAAGCTTAATGATCAACAGATGGAACAAAACAATTTTCTGAGCTTAACAAGCAGGGATTAAATTTAAGTTGCCAATAAATGCTCAGAAAAACTGTATCAATCCCAGCCACCCCAAATGTGTAGTATAAGAGAACATCTTAAAGAATATCCCAATTTGAATTATTGTTCAAGTGTTGCTGCCTTCTTGTTAATCAAAATAGTAGCAACTTTGACTTCTTGAAATTTAAGGTATCTGAAACAAGACACTGTGGAAGCACAAGAACGCACAGAATATCTTCCCAGAATCTTGGAGGGTAGTGAAGCATTCAATTTAATGTTATATTATGATCCTGACATGTAAGTGTATCTTGTTTGAGCTCCAATCGTTAGTTCAACAGCTTTTGCTGCAATAAAACATATATGAAAAAAACAGATCAGACACTCAAAGTAGTCGACCAAGACAGAATAGTGACACGAAATTAAAGCAGAAGAACAACAACAAAGGAAATAAATTAGTATCTAGCATACCAGTAAGAAATCCTATGAAAGGAATTGGTTCCAAAACTTTCTCAGCACTTTCAAGTCTGTGCCTAAAATATTAAAGTCAGGATTTTATTATTCATTTTAACTAGAGGAAGCATATTTCTAGAAAAGGGAGTGAATGGACGAACAAAGTGAGAGAATAAGTAAATCATTGCTACCTGGTATATTTGCTGAAAAAAGGATCTCTCATTAGGTATAGTACAAACAACAGCTTCCTTCTTTTAACCTGAAGCAAAACTATGTCAGTACCAACCTAAAATAATGGATTTAACATCAATGACAATTAAGACAGTTCTAAAAGCAATTTTATCAACCAATACTCAGGTAGAAAACCACAAAGTCCAATGCAGCTTATATCTTTACATTTACATCCCCAAAACGAAATCAAACCTCATCCTTTTCTGGGGCAGAAAGATGTAACATTTGCTCCTTTCCACCAGCCACTGATGTAACTATGGATAGAATACTCATCCCTATGCAGTCAATAGCCAGTGAAAGGAACCAAGGGATCCATGACCGAACACCATATTTTCGAATAAATAAAACATAAATGAGAGGTCTTGTAATAAATAGTGCTTCTCCAACAAAAAACAGCGCCCCGCTAAGACCCTTTTCAGAGAATATGCTGAAGAGTGTTGTTGGCTTCTTTGCTGCCGAAAAAGAAGATGCAGTGGGAAAGTATTAGTTGAATTTCTGATGCATTGTAATCAATCACATTACTGCCAAAAAAATCTTGAAAACATATTGCCTGGAGGCTCCATCATTGCTTGTTGGTGTTGAACACTCTGCAACCACACTGGTGTCGACACAATCCTGGCATTCTCTCCAAATTTACTCAAAGCAGACAATGCTCTTCCTTCCAGATTCCATGGGTCAAGACCGGGATTGTTTTTCATGAAACTGGAGCCTTGATTCCTACCATGATTTAATCCTATTTGATGTTGTGAAGTCAAGCTATTTGAATCTGTCTCATCATTACAAGTCTCCCCACCAGAGAGCAGCATCTTATATCCACTCTTCCGAAACAAAGATAACCGAACCAGTATCCTGAGTCAGGTTTATCAAGATTACAAGAAGCATGGGTCAATGGCCATAGAGATAATGACAAACTGAGGATAGTAGGAAGGGAAATATGCTAAATTACACTACCCTGCTTACTTTGTAGCTTCAGTAACAGCAAGGAAACTCCATTTCTTATCATCGCCATAGTATTGTTGTGCCACAACTTCAACTAATGTTTCCAAATCCTTCAATGCCGATAAGCCTAGTGAATAAGGAAACGAATAAGGCCCAACAGAGCCTCTATCATCTTGGGTAGGGGCTGTATCAATTATATGTTCATTGATAGCCGTGATAATCCCCAGAATGGTCGTCACTGCATAAAATCATAGTATTTTTTTGTTGAAGTTATTACTTTCCACATTGCAGCTACATATAATACGAGAAAACAAGTAGAAGAAAAAAAAAGACATTTAGAAATTGTTCTATTATAAAGAAAATAACTAGAAGGGGAATGCCATGTGACTTTGAAGCATTACAACACTTTGAATCTAGGAAGGTGCAATGTCTTCCAGACATTATTCTTTCTAATTAGCATTTTCAGGATTAACATAAACATATGATAGGAGATAGAAGCATCTACTTTGTGGCAACTCGGTCACAAACTTTCTCTACTTTGAAACTTTTTCTTTCCATTTTGTCACTAAGAACATAGAAATGCTTAAAGTGAGATGAAGTCTAATGTAATTCTGAAACTCCAAAGAAGTAGCCAAAAGTTACCAAAATTTCACAAAACCTGCTTCTGGTCCAATCTCTGAGTCAGAGAATCGTTCAGGAAGAAGCCACGTCAACCCCTGTTCACATTTCCAATCCCTCAATAAGACAATAATTAACCTGACTAACACAGCTCAACAAGCAACAACTCTTGTTTCAACACAAACCCCTCCTTAGACTCATAAACCACAACAACAACAAAAACAACTTCAAAAAACTGAAAAAAAAAAACTATTGAAACTAAATTTTAAAAGGCTACCTGCAGATTTTTAATAATCACCAAGTCAATTGATTTCATATGAACAAGGAATGGGTCAAACTAGTAAAAGAATTCAAAAGATAACACCTAATGCTAATGCTATTATGCCACTGAAATCAAATTATAATTAAACCTATAATAAACCCATTTCCCAATCTGTAAGTCTACATCACATCAAAAACACCCTTTTGTCCCAAAATTTAATTGACATAAAAAATACCACCCAATTAAACATAAAAAGCAACAAAAACATATTCTTTAAAATAGAGATTACATTAGCCAAAGACTCCAAGGAGTGGACAAAGTCTTTGTTCTGCCTGACCCATCTCTTATAAGTGTCCATAGCTTGGGTTACTTCACAAACTACAGAAAATGAACAACAGAGACCAATGCTTCAGGCAACAAAATTAAAACCCCAGACACCACGAAACCTAGTACACGATGGTTGTGGCGAAGATGTTTTTGCTTTTTGCAGTTTCACCAATTTGTGTTGCGAGCATAGTCATAGTAGAAACCAAAAGGGTCAGGAGTTTCTCTCCTAAATGGATCACACCGTGTATAGCCTTAGGTTTGGGACTTCAAAGTTTTGTCAGTTTCATAATTTGCATAATTTTTAAGGTTTTGATAAAAATATTGTTTTTAAATTAAAAGATGAAAACTGTTAAAATAATTTACTAAAATCTAAAGTTATAAATAATTATTTAAAATATAATATGAGAATTTGCAAGAGAAAAAAAGGTGATTAGAGCTCTCACACCATGTATTCTTGAACTAGTCTCCAACCGCAAATGGAAACTTTTGCGGGTACAATTTTGGCTCAGAACAGCATAATCTTCTAAAACATAAATATCAACAATATTAAGAAAAAAACAAACGAAAGATCAATACAATATATTTATCATGATTTATCCTCAGAACTTGAGGTCATATTTAGTCTCTTCACAGTGGCAAAATATTTTACTATTTGTTCATACGGTTACATGAATAGAAGTACATCGCAGGCTTTAATTAATAGAGCTTGAAATTCTATATTATCAATCCTCTATAAATTTTAACCCAATATGTTTTTTTTTTTTTAACTTATAGCCTCTTGCATTCAGCTTCCAATACTAAAGAACTCTTCCTAACTTTGTACAATTAGCAGCCTATATAATTAAAATGTTTTTTTTTCTTAATATGATTTTGTTTTATTCCATTGTTTACTCCTTAAAATTTAGTCATTAATTCTTAATGGTACAATTATGGCTATGGACCTAAAAAAGGGGTTATTAATTTTATTTTTTAAAATAAAAATGATAAATAAAGAAAATATAACCATCAAGGTGTAGGTAGTATAGAAATGATAAAATTTACATGAAGCTAAAATCTTACTTAATGAAAATTAAATACAAACTACATAAACCAATCACCTATTAATAACTTTGATTGTTAAATTTTCATTATTATGTGTCAATAAATGATAATAAGAATTTAAAATAAAAAAATTAGTAAAATCATTCAATTTTTATTTTAGCTAGTAATTGAAAGTATTTATAATAATATTTTAAATATTTTCACATCACAATTATCCAATAAAAAAAACTCCTTGTTACAATTATAAAATTTTACTTTCAAAGCTTGCGTTAATTTTGTTTGATCTTGCTGCCCATGAGAAGTACTTTATAGTTTATCGTTTTCATAATCTTTCAGTAATGTTGAGATGGCCGAGTTGGTCTAAGGCGCCAGATTAAGGTTCTGGTCCGAAAGGGCGTGGGTTCAAATCCCACTCTCAACAATTCAATTTTTTGTCTTTTTCAATTAGTAGCTTATGGATTCTCTCCTTTACAGTTTCTTCTGTTTTGACAATGTTCTACCAAACAATTTTTTTTGGGATCAGAAGTATGTATCGAACTTTCAAGCTGCCATTTTTACTCATACACACTTGATGGAGGAATTCCTAATACTAGGCCCTGATATAGTCTTTAAACCTCCAATACCTCATGACAAAATTGCTAAGTCAATGTTACTAATAAAAATCATGAAAAAAAATTCACATCTTGCAAATATATAGGAAGAGATCCATCACATTGGCTGAGTAAAAATGAAGCCTTAAAGTGGACAGTAATATATAAGATCATGACTAGATATCCATATATTACCCCTTCTCTTGGAACAGAATATTAGGTAAATTGGACTTTGTTGTTAGACAATAGTTAAGTAGTCAGCATACTCAAAAAAATTGTAAAAGTAATTAGTGAGTGAAGACTCTCACAGTACATATGGCATACTATGGTATTTGGATATGCAAGTTGATTCTCCAATTTGATTGCCAAATTTTATTTGAGAGACTTCAACAAGGACAGAGCTTATCAAGGGATATATAATTCATCAAATATAATGATCACCTATATACTATCCACACCATGCAAGTTAATATAAAAAGTAAAAGCTACCACATCATTCTTTTTCAATTTTATATCAGGACCAAAACATTGGTCTCCTGCAAGACAAACCACAAGAAACCAAAAACCTTAACATAGTTCAGCACAAATGTACATGTAATCTTAAATCAGCTTAAGCATAAACTACTCCTCCATTGATAAATTTTCTCTTAAATAGATGTTAGGTTCCTGACTAATTATAGTCAATTCAAAATTCAGATACAATTAACGTATCATATTCAAATTTTAGTTTTTCTGTGTTAAATATTAATGTTTTATTAAAGATAAAAATATTTAAATTTTAGTTATATGCTAAATGAGAAATATGAGAATAATTTTACACAAATATTAGCATAAGTGTTCTATGTATAACATAGTTCAATTATTTGTGTAGTCATGCACTACCTTGTCTGTTGCATTTTGTTGTTTGACATTTACATTGTGAATCTTGTTAACACACTATATGGGTCAATTCAGTGTGTTAACAATATACTTTTGTAGCTGCGTTAAGTTATTTTAGTATATTCAATCAGTTTTCTAGTAAATAAGTAGTTTCTATATTTGTAGAAATAATTTAATTTGCTATCTAATTTTATTAAAAATATTTCAGTTACGTATAATTTTATTTGTATTACTGTAAATATATCGTTATCACTTAATGAAGTTGAATTCATTTTCTACACATTTTATTTTATTTTTTAAAATTTTTGTGCTATAAAAACCAACACAATGCACAAGTTATGAATACAAATAAATACTGACCCAAATATTAAGACTAAAAGAAAACTGAATCAAAGAACATCAAATGTGAAGGCAGAGTTTGCAACTACTTGTGAATAAATTAGAGAACAGTAATTGCTTAAAAATCTTCACGCATGGTAAATAAGAGGGAATAACTAACTACTTATGAATGAATAAATGCAATCCAATTACAAAAACTCAGCCTTTGTTTCCAATCGCCCCAACTCTTCAAAATTGAGTTGCCTCAATGGCATCTCAATTAGCTGCAATTGTTTATGATTGCCATATTAGATGCACTTTGTTTATGGTTAACTCTCAGGAGGCAAGTTCCAATAAGACCAAAATTTAATAGAAGTTAACGCTTCAAAATTTTGTTAAATGCAATATCACTACTTGAGTGCAACTATATCTTTTCAACTACGAATAGGAGATTTTAAAGAATTTGGTTGTGAAATCAACACTAATTGTAATTTATTTATATAACCATTATACAAGTCTAAATTTATTAAATCAAATGATTTTACAATCCTATTTCTAATTAGTTTAAGTGCCAATAAATTTAATTTTTATTAAACAAGAGATTTTGGATTTTGATTCTTGTGAATCGAGAAAATAAATCTTTAGAGAATATTTTCTATAGAAATTCACCTAACTCAAGTTACTTTATTCAAATTTAAAGTAATTTTCAAATATATGGAGTCTCTAACAAAACATATATCAAAAATATCTCTTACGTTCTTGCTGGTTATTCCTTACGTGAAACACCTATTTTTATTTTTATTTTTAACTTTAGTAAGCGAGTTAAGTATCTCTTCTAAAATTGATTAATATTTTCCCTAGCACTTCTGCATATTTTAGCCATTAACGATATTTTGAAATGGTTTTATAGAGGATGTATTATACAACAAAATTTGCTATTTATTATACCAGTAGTGTATAAGTAAGTAGTGTTCCGGCTTTTCTGAAAATTGTGTCTGAAAATCTATGTATAAAAAAATAAAAATTATGTGATCTATCTTTATACAGCCTCTTTCTTGAACGATTAATGAAAGAAAGGAAAGAAAAAGAAAACTGAAAAGGCTTTTTCTTGAATCAACTAATAAACATTTTATTTGCCCTAGATACTTTCCACTGTAAATTTAAGTATAAATGGGAAAGGTGTAAATTTATTTTATGTTTTCACATGTTATATAACATCTTATTATTTATATTCAAAATCACACACCTCTTTTTAGTCTCTTCCAAATTATGATTTCTTTCATCACTAGCTTACTATATAACATTATAAAATCTCTTAGCTTTTCAATCTAAAAGAAGAATGAATAACAATGTCTGTGATGACTCTAATATTTGTGGCCTGATTTTCTGATGCAACTGTAAATTTTTTTTTTATGAATTTTAATCACATAATAATTGGACTATCCATCATTATGCTTACAAGTTTACTACCTCGAAAGGTTTTTCAAGAAATTGAGCACACGGCGCAAAGTTTTCATGCTCACTACTATATATAGCCCCAAAAATCAAGGTCGTTAAGTTTAGGGTGTATTTAATCAAGGAATCAGCATGATACTCTTCAAAGGAGGAAGTAAATTTCAGATTAGTGATGTTCGATCTTGTGGTTTTGTCAAGTGCAGAAAAAATATAAGGATGGTTGGAAATGTACTCCCTCCCTCTTTCAAAACTTTCGACATTGGCTTTCTATTGAGTGTCCTCCTGTAATTTTACACTCAGATGGCTAGAATACAACTTGTATTCAAGCATCATTTTCTAATAAATTTCTTGTGCTCGTAAAAGAAAAAACATTTTCTATATTCATTTCATCAATTAATTAAATTTCATTTTGTGGGTTGTATTACGCATCTTAATTTCTTTTTGATAAATACCACACAACTAAATTTCCATAGAAATAACACATTTTCAACATAACTACTTATATAAATCCTTAGCCAAACCAGCAATAACAACTGAAGTATTAACTACACTAGTAAGCAGACAAGCTTAACTGAATCAAATGGTTTGAAGACAAACTAATAAGGGAAATGTCCACGGAGTACTTATTTCAAGAAGAGACCAAAATGACAAGGTTCATGCATGCAGTCATATGGATATTAAAAGTTATTTATTTTTTAACATGTTTCTAATGACATATAATAAGACATCAATAAATAATAAGTTTTATTGGAAATTCTAACAGGTAACTATGTTAACACAATAAATTTTGTGATATACTGTGAATTCCAATAAAAACTTACTATTCATAAGATCTTATTACGTGCATTAGACACGCCTTAAAAACATCGATTCAAGTTAATCAATGCGCAAGAGTAATTATCTCATCCTCGCGCCAAATATCCTCAAAGTGCCCATATGGTTGCCTGCTAGGACTATTGTTATCTTCATGCCCATTCCTGCACCTAAGGCATCTTCTTCCTTGGCAAAAGATGAGCTTTCTCATACACGAGATGTCCAAATGGCTTCGCAGATCACCAATACCATACACCGAAACCTCGGACCTAGGATGTGGTTTATCCATAATGACACTATGGCATATATTAACCATTTCCAAACGTTGCAAGGAATTGAGCACGGTACACAAACCTTTCATGCTCACTATCACGTACCGAATACTCAAGATCCTTAGATTTGGGGTGTATTTAACCAAGGCATCAGCATGATTTTCTAGAAAGCCGCAAGTAAATTTCACCTCAGTGATGTTCCTGCAGTATTTGCCAATTGCAGGAAATAGGAAATTATGCTTAACCATGGAGGTAAGGGTAATGGACTCAAGGCCTCTCCAACACCTCATTGCTGCATTGATTCCCCTTCTTGTTAAGGAGCCTGTAATTGGTAGAATTAGTCGTTTGAGATTTTGGGTCCTACAAAAGAAAACACATTTTATAATATAGAGTAAGGAAGCATTTGAAAGAGTTCAAAATCAACTCTATTATTTGAACATCTAAAAATTAATACCCAATATGATATCATATATAGTATTACCTTTTTCTGTCTCTTACTTCTATTATTGCTTTCATATGCACACTTATAAAAAATATTCATGATTATCAAACAGGACGTCAAAAGATTTCCCACTTCGATGATACAAAAAACATTTTCCATGAAATTATTTGGACTAGTGAAAGTAATTTGTCATATAAGTTTCATCTTTCAGTTTATTTTAGTAAACCTTGGGGTAAAGCTTATGAATAAACTTTCATATGATAATTTTTTGTTTATAAAAAAAGTATTTTGTTAAACTGTTTACCTAGGCATGCCTAAATTATTAAATAACTAGCATATATAGGTAAATGTACAAAGGGTAAGTAAGAAATGATACCTTTCAGCAGCAGAGATCAAGTGCACATCAGTTAAGTATATATAGTAGTTAAATACTATGCAGCTTGTATTTCCATTGCTCAAACTTAAAACATATTTCAAGAACTGAGTGACTCTTGTGCTTGAACGTTTGTCACGCAACGCTTCTCGTGTGTTGGGTATGTAGAAATAGGGAGATCCCAGGCTAGTAAGATCAAGCTTGCGCCAAAGTGAAGGTTCACGACAAACTCGGTTCCAGGATTTGCAAACCAATGAGACTGCTGCAATGTCCGCAACGTTGAGAAGCATAAAAATTCCTACCAGAATCTCATCGCACAAATGATTAATCGGGCTTGTGGCACCTGAGTTTCTCTTCTTCATTGTCAATGTTTCCTGCATGCATTATTAACACAATATTATAAAATTTTTCACATGATCATTGGTTTTAAATTTTCTCATGACACAGCAAATGCAAATCAATATCCAAGAAACGAAAACAGGAGTAAAATTCTATCCAAAGATATTTCTGCAATCATGACAAGAAATAATTAATTACAATAATAACTTGTTTAGCGAAATTAAAATTTGTTTTCTTAATCATTATCATCGTTTGTAAGAAGAACAATTCAGGTTTCAAAAACAAAGAATTGTGAAATTTAAGGTGCATTACACAACTTATTTAAACTCTTATTCAATAATTTTTTTTAATGATGAAATATATTGAAATAAGATAAAAATAACTCATTTTAAAAGTTATAAAAAAACTCAATAAGTTTTTAAAAAAATTATAAAAATTACAAATTATTGTCATAAACTGTCTATCAACTTGTACCTCAAACCCTAAATTGGACTGGAGATACATCCTAGGCAAGCTAACATGAAATTGATTATTTGCTTTTAGCCCAAATTGATACGAAGAGTTTGCCTATGCTACTCTACGAGATAAAAAAAAAATATTGTCTTAAGTGAAACTGATACCATTTTGCTAATAAAAATATTTATGCAATTTTTAACACCATATATGAACTTTACTGGTCCATTTAAACTGAAGTTATTTATCTAATATGATAACTTAGACAAACTCGTCTAGAGAAGATTTGTTATAAAATTAGCCCATCAGATAAATAGTTAAACAAAAATCGATATAATTTTATGTCTTAATTTTTTTCAGTCTACTAAAGATAGGTTATTTACCTAATTGGAACTTGTACAAAACTATATTTAAATGGGGTCTGTCTAAGTTACTCAGTGGTAATCCCATCCTAAGTGCACCAATGAGTTTTTGTTTATAGAAAGTTAAATTAAAAAACTTTCAAAGTAAAAAGACATTAAAAATAAACAATATTTTATAATATATTTCAAAATGAATGAATTATATCAAGATAAAACCATTATATATTATGTAAAACACAGTAACTTTAATTTAATAAAAATAATAGTTTATTGTTAATTTTATAAAAAATTATTATGCGAGAATTTTTGTTGAACGAGAAACTCAAAACACGAAACGAGTCGACGAGAAAAAAAAAATCAATTTGTTTTAGGCAAAATTGAATTTTCGGATTGGATCGGGTCTTGAAATCCTAATAGAAACCTAAAAAAAAAAAAATCATGGGAATTTTCTGGCTTTTAAAGGGGTATATGTGTTGAACAAAATGAAGAAACTCGTTGTTAGAACCCCACTCGGCTAAAAAAGAGAAAATAAAATCTTGTCATTCCACAGACGATCTTATAATATAATATTTGATGTGGATCTATCATTTTACAGTCACAAGGAAATTAAAAAAATTGTAGATCTGTCATTTTAAAGTCCCAAAAAGAAAGTCAAAATAAAAAAATCGGGTGAGGGTGACAAAAAATACTCATAAACCCTTTATTAGAATCATCATTCATCAATCATCCCCATGATATCCGAATTAAATAAACAAAAACCCAGTAACGAAGATTAAAAAATATACATATAAATGCAGAAAGGGGTGATAAAAGAAAGGAAATGAACATGCATGCACTGAATCAAAGGAATAAACACACCTCTTACCTCAAGTCTCAACTCTAGGCAGTGAAGTTAATTATCTTGTGTTCTTGTTCACTCTTAGATAATATGAAGAACAGAAGGAAGAGTGAAATTGAAAATTACTTTCTAGAATATATATAGAGAAGACAAGACCTTGAATTGACCACGAGCTTTCCTATGTAACGGCAATGCCAAATTTCAGATTATTTTGTCCTTATTACCATAATCTCATGAAGTTGGCTACGCATCAACTAAGCAACTCAAGCCTTCTGTGTATTCGTTTGTTGGTGGCGTACGTGTGAGCGTCATCGTGTGCCATTGCCACGTAGTCTAATGCTTCTCCTCTTTTTACAACATTATTTTTAATATTATTTAAAAATAAATATTCAATTTTTTTTAATATAGTAAATATTTTTTTCATTTATTATATTAAAGCTTAGTTATTTTTGTAATATAATAAATACTCTTTTAATAAATATATTTTCCTTTTTTTTTTTAACCAATCAAACCTTTTTGGTCACTTCCATGTTAAGAGATAAATGCTTTTGCATTTTTATGCATTAATTTCCATCTTGATATTTGAATAAAGTGTTGACTGATTTTGAATTTTTTATATTTCTAAAATATTAAATAATATTGCTTTTCATTTAATATTTCTTTGTAAAGCATTGGAAATATCATAAGAGATTTTAATATGGCATTATTTTAAAATAAAATAGTTTGAATGCATTTAATGCCCAGCTCAAACCTTTTTTTTTTTTATATATTTTTGACTTGAACAGAATTCTTTGAATTTAGATTAAAAAATTATTTATTTATTTATTATAATAGTTTCAGAAACACATCCTACGTTACTTCTTGTGTGCACCGACATTTATTTTTTATAATACTAATAACATATCTTTTGGTTTAAAATTTATTTAAAGTTATAAAAAATTTATATGAGTCTCATTTTTAAATTAATATTTTTTATTTTTTATTTTTAATAAATTTTAGTTAACTATAAAAAAAATATATTAAAAAGTATGTAACTGACTTTCAATTTATTTGTTACTTTAAATTGATAATTATCCAGCAAATGCATATATTTTAACTTTTCATTCATTCCACATAAGAGATTTTTTAAGGTATTTAGATCGTTCTTTTTGTTGGTTAAATTAATATAAATGGGGTGGGTCTCCACCCAGTGAGAAAAATCTTATTTGCATTTACTTGGAATTGAGTTATATAATTTTTTTAATTATTTTTTTAAGACTATTTTTCGTGTTCTTTGTATTACCATCATTACAAAACTAACTCGATTTTAAATAATTTTATCTTTTATTATATCAAAATTAACTCTATTATGTAAAATATGTAGTGTGACGAAAGAAAATAATCAGATCATCACTATAAATCTATTATAAGGTTAAATTATTCAATAAATCCTTGGATTTTTAAATAACTTAAATAAATTCTTATACTTAAAAAATTTATAAATACATTTATGAATTTTTAAATTATTTAAAGTCAATGACTACATTTTTGTTAAACTTCTATTAAATGCACGAATCTAATTATAATTTTTTAAATTATTCAATTTATTGAATAATTAAATTAGTTTCCTAATCCCTAAATTGTTTAAAAAATATTTCAAGTTTCTGCATTTAATAATGGAACCTTATAAAAAAAATGTTAACATAGATATAATTAAAAATAATTTAAAATTTACTTTACAAAGTTTTAAAATATTCAGAATTAACCTTATTATAAAACTGATCTACTCATGTTTAATGAAGAGTGAGTTTCGATGACACTAGGTACAAATTCATACACTTACACAATAATTTTTTTATAAAATATAAAATTAATTATTTTAATAATAATTTGAATTTTCTTATCAAATTAATTAATTTTAAAAATTGATAAAAATTAACAAGTATTTGATAAAAAAAATGTAAAATATTTTTCAAAATATAAATAAATATCAAATGTTAAATAAAAATTCTTACAAATATTTAAATTATATAAAATTTGATATACATAACCTTAAAAATAATATAAAATAATTCAAAAGTTAAATTAATCAATCTCATATTCTATAATAATTAAAATTATTATGTAATATAAATATTTAAATTTGACACTTAATACTCATTAATGAATATTTTGTAGCATAGGTTGAGAAAATCAGTAAGTAACGTCATTAGTCTATTATTATAAAAGAAAGAATATTTAACATATTTCTTTATTAAATTCTTATACTTTCAAACAAATTAAAATTTTATATAATTTTCTTAACAATAAAAAATTGTGATTCTAACAATTCTTATAAGAATAGTTACTTTTATTACTTTAGTAAAATGTACACATAATGATCTATGAACGATAACAATTTCATTGAATACTTTATTTTTCAAACATTAAACTCTTTATATGAATGAGGTAGTTTAAATATTTTACCTCCTATATATTATACTCTTATTTTATATGGCATGTTATATTAAAACAAAGTTTGTTTAAGTTATATAAAGTTTTAATTAAGTTTAAATTTTATGTGAAAAGTATATTTTTTTTATTAACAATATCACTTTTATCATAGTAAATTTTTATTTTAATATTTTCAATGTAATTCTAGTCTTTTAAAATAAATTTTGTTATTTAGTTTAATTTAAATATGTTTTTAGTTCTCAAATTTTAACAAAGTTTTTATTTGTATTTTTTTGAATAATTTTTTTTATTTCAGTCTCTGTTTTTTAATAATTTTTATTTTTAATCTTCATCATTGATGTGGTCAAATAAAAAACTAACACGTAGTAGTATTTTAATAGAATAAATCAACATTAGAGATTAAAAAAATTACAAAAAATAGAGATTATAGCAAAAAATTTATCTAACAGGATTAAACAAAAAAATTATTAAAATATAAGAATTAAAAGTATAATTAAGTGGTTTTTATAAATTTTTAAAATAGTTATTTTATTATTTATTAATTATGTGGTATATATACATGTCGCATCATTATTATGTAGTAATAAAAGTAACTTTAAAAATTTTAAATTACAATTAATAAAAATATTAAAAAATTATTATATTTATACAATTAAAAATTATACCTTATTTCCCAATGGGCGGGATAATGTTGCCTATGCAGGGTCGTAACAATCACAGAAAATTTTTCCAATAAAAATATATTAAGAAAAAAAAGTATAATTTAGACTTAATTGTATTTTTTATTCATAAGTTATTTAATTTTGAGTGCTCACATTTCATCTTTTTACTTTTTTAAATATGTCATTTTGATTATCATAATTTTAATAACTCTAATTTGGTCCCTCTAATTTTTTTTTAACGTGTCATTTTTTTATCCTCTTAATTTTATTTTTTTATGATTAGTCTCTCTCATTTTTTAGAAATAAAATTTTATTTTTCTAATTTTCATTATTCATATTCAGCGCTCTAATTTTTTTAATATTTAAGTTAAATCTCTTATCTTAAAATTTTATATAATTAGTTATAATATTTCATTAATTTATAAAAAAAGTAAAAAACAAAATATTTAAATAAAAATATAAAATAAAATATTTAATTTAAATATTTAAAAATTATATGTGAACAATTGAAATTAGATTTACAAAAATTATAAAGTTAATAATTAAGAAGACTAAATGTGAGTAATTAAAATTAAAGAAATCAAAATTACACATTATGAAAATTACATGAACTAAATGTAAGTAATTAAAATTATATGGATACATTTGTAATGGCTAAAAAAATACAAAAAATCACACATAAAATTAAAATTAAAATTAAATAGACAATAAATCTATAATTTATTAAAAAAATTACAAGCATTTGGTCAAAGAACAATAAGGCATGAGGTGTGAGAATACTTTAGTCAACTATATTGTGAAAACTTGAATATAGAAGAGGTCATTATTCGGAATGCCAAATATGCCTTACATGTTTTAATATCAATTTTCATTCTAATTGGCAATATTAAATTAATTAGAGTTTAAAATATAAAATCTATGAAGCATTTCAAAAGAATCTCCATCGAAATTGTAGCAACTAATTATTCGAAAATATAATTCTAGCTGAAATTGTCTTTGCCATAGTCCACTTCACTGCTTCTCTGCAACCAGAAATTACAAAATCAATTAGGAGCTATCATCAACAAAAGCTGACATTTAACACTTTTTTAATATACCAAATCAACAACGAGAATTAAAAGCAAAATTTCTTTAAAAAAATAGAAACTAATGGTAAGTAATAAACACACCTCAGAATTAAAGGTGAGAGCCACTTTAAGCTCCCCACAATACTCCTGCTCCTTCACAACGTTGTAAGCAGTTTCTGGAATGGTCCCCTCAGCAAACACTGTTTCCAGATTAATTCTGCATATGTCAGAAAAAGTTGCACTTTAGCTTCTCAAAAAGCCCTCAAATTGGTATCTTTATCAACTATCTAACAACTTCACAGGATATTTGCAGAAACAAATCACAAATGAAACAAAATCGGATGAAGGGCACCTAATTTCTGAATAGCTAATATGTACACTACTGAAGATATGTCTGGCTACAAGGTTACTTAATTGCTCATGGAATGTTCTCACCCTGTCACAACCTTAATTTAGGGGCCTTGTTTTTAGCGTTCTTTCTTTAGTTTATTTTTCTTTATGAGAAATTCTGGGATAAGTTTATTATCACTTTTTAAGTGGTTTTTATTTGAAATATCATATATAGTAATGTCAATAGTGAAGGTTTTTAAGTAAAAAAATTAAATTAAAGTGATAATAAATATGCAAAAATGACAATATTTTTGTTTGGTTTTAGACAATAAGAGAGAGAGGGCACCTGTGATCTCCATATGTTTTGATATGATTAATTCTACACAAAGAGTTTAATCATGTCCATAAATTAATTTTGTAATCAAGTAAAAAAACAATCAAATCCCACGTCAATGTACATTAGGAATTTGTACTATATCCAAATAATGAAGAGGGCTAAAAACTATTTTTAAAATTTATTTTTTAATATATATATATATATAGTTATTGATTAAAATTTATTAAAAATCATAAAAATATAAGTAAAATTTATTAAATTAGAAGCAAAAAATGTATAATTTTTTTAAATAAATTATAATTAATAATAAAAAAAATAGTTAACTTGGTAAGTTTGTAGAGGATTTTTGACTCACTTTGTTTGGCCAAGGAAATCATCATTAGTTAACGAATCCTTGTCCATTAGCCTCAGATTAAGTTCAGAAACACTGTCAGAAACTGTGAAAAGGAAGCTTTCATTCCAATGGGCTTTAGATCCTGCACCTGTAACACAGTGATTCCATAACTGCACTATTTCAGCCATATCCATCATCATCAAGAACAGATAGAGAAACAAAGATGGAAGATAGTTTAATCAAATTCAATCCAAAACAAATAAAATAGTGAATAAGGCAAAATAAACAGCAAATCCCACCTTTGGCCACACTGCTTCTGTGCTCCTGTGTCCGATAAGTGAGAATCACATAAGGATCCATTTTCTCTGCTCATAAAAAAATGGTACATGGAATCAACCCTTTGCATGGATTACAATTCTAGAAATAAAAAAAATGGGAAATTTTCATTCACTTAAAAGTAATTTATTCAAAGATATGAGAATTTAAACCAGAAGTTTAAAAACCATATTTTGAGATAACATTTTGAATTTGCATTACTTACTGAAAAAATCACTGTCATGAAGGTCTTTTGCGCTGATGAGAATAACTTCAAGCGTCCCACGAGGCATCTTTGGCTCAAAACTCTCCCTTAGAAATTGAAGTAAATGTTTGAAGGATACCAAAACACCACAAAGTAATTTAGATGCAATTTTTATTATTATTCTTTATCACTGGTCAAAATGTCAAATCATTAAATTGTTTTACATGCGTTGCATTTCCTTCTTTTTGAGTCAGAATTTTGAATGTGTAAATTTTAGTGAGATGAAACGGCTTGAGTAATAAAACAAAACGGCACGAATGAAGTGTCTAGACATCAGAATATTTAATTTTCAAATAAATGCTCCAGTTTTTATATTTTTTTAATTAGTATTTTACAAATTGAATAAATTAGTTTATTTAAATTAATTGAGATAGTCAGTGAAGTAGATTTTGCATATTTCATAATATATAATATGATAAATCTGCTCAAGAATTTATCAACACAATGACATTTCTGTAATTTTTCTATAAAATTATGAGCATTTCATTTCGATGGATAATTTTGATTTTTGGGTTCATGAATTTATTGTTTTATTGAATATAAACTCAAACCTTCTTGTGTCTTTTTTAATAAGCGAAAATAATTAGTAATTGTGTTCAAATAACCACTTTAATATTCAAAAAAATTTATATCTTCTTATAACATTTTATTGAAAAAAATATTAAACACTTCTTCTTCTTTTCTCTCTCACCCCATCATCCCTAACCATTTAAAACCACCATGAAAAAACTCCCATTTTCTTCATTTTTCTTTCTCTCTTTGTCTCCTTCAAACTATTATCTCCAACCATGAAAACTCCTCAATTGTTCATTTTTCTTCCTTTCCTTCTCCCTCACATTAAGACCCATTATCCAAACAATAGCTTCCATCAACTTTGTCCATATCCCTCTCCATGACACTCCTTTAAAAAATCTAGTTGTGCCTTGAAATTATAGAATTTCCAAATCTAAATTTTTTTTAAAAATTTGAGCATTTTTTTGCTATTTTGTGGCCTAAAATGCATTAAACAATAGCTTTTCATTTTGTCCGTAATTATTTTTGGGCTGATTAGTGACACAAAGGACACATAACATCAATTCTCGTTTTTGTTTTTCTCTGAAATTGTTTTTGGCATGATTAGTTGTTCAAAATGCATTAAACAATTACTTTTTTTCGTCCAAAATTAGTTTTAGGCTGACTAGTGACCCAAAATACACTAAACAACAACATTTTTTTTACCCAAAATTGTTTTTGGGCTAATTAGTGATCAAAATTGCGCTAAACAGTAACTCTTTTTTATAACAGCCCAATAATTTATTTTTTTTAAAAATGAGTTCTTATTTTTTATATTATTTTTAGCCCATGTTTTATTTTATCTAATTTAGGTTATCTTAAATTAAATTATTTTATTTTTATTTTTATATTTAATTCTCTTAATTCTATTTATTAATTTTTCAAATAAAAATAATTTAAATAATAATAATAAGAGATGATTAAAACTAATTAAAATATAATATAAATTTTTATTTTTTTAATCATATTATATTTACTATTACTGTAATTTTCCATGCTATTTCATTTTTTGCATTCTACTTATTTATTCATGTTATTTATTTTTTTAACATTATTATCTTTTATTATATTGTATAATTTCATAACGTTGATACAATTTGATTTTATATTAGCTTCTTTGATATCATGTAGTATAAATTAATAAAATTTATGTTTACTTACAATACTTTGATTTTGTGCAATAAAGATTTAATATATTTTAATTTTAATTTTAATCAATTAAATAAATATTTTTAACTGATCAAAATATAATTATTTAGATATTATTTTTTTAATTATCAAATTATTAATAAATTTATCAAATTATGTTAAAAATTACTTAATGTAATGATTTTTATATTTTTTTATATTTATATTTACTGATTTATTTTGTTTATAAAAAGTATATTTTTTAAAGTGTTATTTATTAATTAAAATAAAATTTTATTTCATTAATATTATATTTAATAACATTAAATATATTTTTTAATAAAATAATATTTTAGTTTTTATTAATAAATAATATTAACATGATCAAAGAGCTGTAAATAAATTTTATTTTATTTTATAAAAAAAGCACTTAAAATGTATTTGAATTCATGTTAAAATATATAAAAAATAATATAATGTAAAAATTATCAATAATAACATTAAAATAAATATAAAAATTCATACCAAACAGGGAATTAATTACTATTACCAAGAATATAACTCACTATTTTTTGTTATAAAAAGATACAAGAAGAAATAGGAGGGTTTTTTGCCTGTATATGGTTAAATCAAAAACATTTTATCCGTATGGGGTTCTTTGACAAAAAATTCCCTGTCTAGGGTGATTTGTGAGTGTCGTAAAAAATGTTGGCGACAGATGATCAAGTATCGCCTGAAAGAATGCCGACACAGGTGTCAGACCCGACTATTGAGAGCGGTTCAAAAGGAACCGCTCTCTAATATAGACATCTTAGAGCGGTTACTTTCAAACCGCTCTCATAAATCAATTTTAGAGAGCGGTTAGAAAGTAACCGCTCTAAGAAGTGCATTTTAGAGAGCGGTTCGAATCGAACCGCTCTCAAAAGTCATGTAAAATATTATTTTAAAATATTTTAGAGACAGACGACTAGAAAAGAGTGTTTATGATGGTGTTTCTTCATATTTGCTGTGTTTCTTCATCTTAGTAAACGTTGTTCTTACGGCTTTCTTTGTATTCATTTTAGCAACAGGAACAAAATGCTGTTAATGGTTGATGGTCCAGCCATTTTTATTTATTTTTGTTTTCTTCCTGCGGTAAATGTTGAACTATCACCTTCTCGCCTGAAAATAATGTCCCAGCAACTGAATCTTCCATCACCTATCCCACGAAAATAGTCGAGTTTGACACCTGTCGGTATTCTTTCAGCCGATACTTGATCATGTATCGCCAACATTTTTTACGACACTCACAAATTACCCTACGAAGTTTTTGTCAAAAAACTTTATACGAATAAAATGTTTTTGATTTAACCCTGTACAGGCAAAAAAAAAAAAAAAAAAAAACCCCAAATAGGAGCAACTCGCAGGAGTACGAGGATATAAAAACTTTCCAGAAAAGGAATGTTAAAGTCAAAATTGAAGGAAACTTAGAACGGACAGTGTATGTGTGGGTAGAGACAGGAATGGCGGAAAGAGCATCGTCTGCCTCTGCTGCTGAAACCAAAACAGTGTCTTCAACTTCCGACCATGTTTCTCTAACCCACACTTTCCTTAAAAGAATGGGCATGGACCAACCCATTCCTCAGAGTTGCTATACCAGCGGCTTCTACTCCAACTTCTTTGGAAGCTTCATCAAGGTCGATCACATCAAGAGGGGACGAATTTCTTCAACTATTACTGTCAAAGCTCCAATCTCCGTAAACCCCTTTTTCTTCTTATGTTTTCACATCACATGTATCTTTAATCGGGGTATTTTATCACGGTAACACTCTTTTCATCTTACTGGCTATGGGTGTTTTTGTAACACTTTGTCATAAAAGTTATTGATTTTGTGTTTAGCTGCTTAGAAAATTGGGAAGGAAGAATGTTTTGCTAAATAGGTCTCTCGAAATTGCTGATTCCTAGTTTGCATTTTTGAAGATGCCGCGTTCTTCTTGTATTCGCTGTTGTGTTGTTGCTGTGGATATCCTGTTTGGTAGCTCTGAAAATTGGGGATAGATTGCTTTTGTTCTTGGAATGTTCTGTTTATTGGATTGACCGAAATTAATGATGAGTTTCTAGATGATTGTTGGGAATTTCCCCGTTGGTTATATTGAGCTTGATTAGGTTGGTATTGGATTCTCTAACTTTGTGGTGGGAAAAATCACTGACTTTGGATATATTTTGGCCATTGATTTCAAAATCAATTGGCAAGATTTCATCATAAATGGGGAATGTGTTGAGTTTTTTTTCTTTTCTTGTCCATTGATGGTGAAATCTTGCCCATTGATTTTGAAATCAATGATCCAAACTCACCCAAAATCTGTGACTTTTTCCATTACGAAGTTAGAGAATCTAATTGCTATTAGGTTGGGAATGCATGTTTTTGACTGGGTCGGACCAGTGTTTCAAGATTGCGGGCCAAGCTGTAAGTACTTACGTAAATGCTTTTTGCGTCTTGAGATATGTTTTGGTCTTGATGAGCTCTTGGCATTCAACTCGCTTAAAATTTTTTATTATAAAAGAAAATTGGGGGTGCAATATTGATGTTTTGGAGGCCCTGCAAATGATTGGAATTGCAGCAGCATGGACTGCATTTGTTTGCGATTTCAGTAATTGTAATGCAGTCAATTGAGAGGCTGTAATTTTGGTTAAAATTGAAATTTCTTCCATTTTCTTTGTGTGCAGCTGAACTTATTTTCTCTCTGTGGTGTAAGTTGTAAATTTATTTGGGGCTTTGGACGGAATTTGTAAATTGTTACATGGGTGTAGATGGACTTTTCATTTTCTTCATTGGTCTTGCAGAATTTGTTTGGAATACTGCATGGAGGGTCTGTTGGATCTTTCATTGAGTTGCTGTCGATTGCTTGTGCAAGAACTGTTGTTGCTGAGGACAGGGAACTTTTTCTCGGGGAAATTAGCGTGTCTTACCTCTCTGGAGCTCCAATCAATGTGAGTCCTGTGTAATGACTTTTGGCTTTTGATTCTCTTTACTGTGATATGGGCATTACTGCTTTTCCCGTTCTGCAAATCAGTGGATGACAGAATGACTTAATATGCTGCCTTAGGAAATTAATGCTTTTAGCCTAACTTACATTTGAAACAAAGGCTTTAGGACTTCAAAAAAGTATTACACCTCAACATTAAGCAATGGGATGTAAGAACTTGGGGTTTGGAATTCTTAGAACTGTAAAAGTGTTGCTTAGCTGTTAGCATAAATCTTCTGCATTTGCACAGTTACTTAGCACGTACCTGGTGCATTGGTTTCAACGTGATTAATGTTAAAGATACAACATAAAATCATTCATGTTGCAATATTTGGTTCATGAGATAGTATCAGAGGCTGTATTACCAAATGGTCTAGAATTCAATCCTTACCACCTCCATTTTTTTAATAGAGTTGAATGTCAGCACACTGTCTGTTGGCGTGTGCACTATCCATGCTTTAATCCCAAATAGATCTTGCATGAGGAGGTGTGCTGGAGATATAGAGCCCATGTGGAAAAGTTTATAGACACTTTATGGAAATAACTTACAACTCTTATAAACTTTTTAAAGCTTATTTCAACAAGATTCTTAGTATAATTTATCAAAATAAACTGTTTTGAGTTTATCCTAATAATTTTTATGGTTAACTTTATGGCATAAGTTACCGTTGAAAAAAAGCTTAATAAATAAGCGTTTACTTAAGTTGTGTACCCAAACACACCCATAATATCAAACATTACGTGTCTTCACCTAACAACTTAACCTTTCGAGATATTTGATTCGTGATAATTAAGGCCTCCCCGATAATGTTGCAAAGATGCCGAATTATAGGCTGGAATTTTTATAGATATAATTATCTGCTCATTCAATATATAATGTAGCTCAGTTGCAATGTCACCCTAGATGATTCTTACATCAGATATGCTGAGCAACGTGTTCATGTTCTTTTCAATAAGTGGATTGTTGCCCCATTGTCTATGTAGGCTGAAATTCTAGCTGACGCCACTGTGGTGAAGAGTGGAAGAAATGTAACTATGGTTGCATTAGAGTTTAAGCTGAAGAAGACTGGGGATTTGTTTTACATTGCTCATGCTACCTTGTACAACATCCCGGTTGCCAAGTTATGAAGTACCTTTCTGGTCATTATTATATTGCTCATCCAGATTCATGACATTCACATTCTTGAGAATGATGTATACTCTCGTTTGTTAAAAATATATGACCATTGCTGGGTCCTTCATGTTGATAATTTCAAGTATATGTTATCAATTGAGTTTACTACATAGCTAGAAAAAACTAATCAGAGCTCAATAGTTAAATAAGCAAATGGACGCTTATTTATCGCAGTCACAAGACGTGAGAACTTGAACATGCAAAGTCGATGTTGTTTCAACCATGGAGACTCCCATCTGAAACCCTTTTACCATTGCAAACTCTGACCCTTTGAAATTTTTAGGTCATTAAAATGCACCTTCAATCCCTTTTTCTTTATGTATCTTTTATTCTTTTTTGTTTGGATGTGCAGAAACTGGGTCTTGCTTTTGAGAAATATGTTCTGCCTCGTTGTACAGGTTTTGTTGGTTGGAACTATTGGGTTTAGGCTAAGGTTACAAACGAGTAACGGATTGACCAGAAAAGTCCAGTTATAAAGTTTACAGCAAATAAAAAAGGATTATTTTGCAAATATCAAAATTAACGTAGTGCATATTTTTAAAATATATAAAAATAAAGATTAATTCTAAATTATATTATTTAATCATTTAATTTAATAAAATTTAATATAAATAATTAAGATAATATATAACTGTAATTTAACAGCTTAATTGATGAAAATTATATTTTATATTAAGTTTTTAACAGTACAAAGGTGTGTACACTTAATTTGATCCCTTTCACATATATAAATTAAAATTTTTATGTAATATTCCAATCATCATTAATTAACTTATTCTCAATTTAATAATAAAACAAGATATTAAATTATTCATGCATATTGAAAAAATATTTAGTAAGTATTATAAAAACTGGTAGCACTGAAGCTAGTTTTTACAAAGGTGAAAATGGTTTGATTCAGCTGTTGACGTTTTTGTTTCAGATATAAATACATAACAAAAGCTCTCGATCTTAAGAAAACAAAATATGTATACAAGTAAGGTATTACGCTGACACTTCGTAATTGCACAACAAAATAATACTCTAAAATTATGTATAAGTCAACAATTAAATACCTATTGAAAACACGACATACAAATATTTTAATACAATACTGTACATTAAAAATCTCAGCTGCATCAACAATAACACCTTTTTGAATTGACAATCACGAGTAATAAATGCTTTCAAGAACAAGAAAACACTCCTATTTACTTCTATATTCATGTGCTGTTTATTATGTGAATGAGTGGAAAAACTGGTAACTTAATTCTCGAAATTATATGATTCATATATTTAAATCTTTGAGATTTGAAACTAGTTTATATATCAGTTATAATTTTATAAAACAACATTTATTTTAATCCTTTTTAATGTAAAATGATGATGGAAAAAATAATAAAAAAGGATTAAAATGAATGACATTTTATATAAAAATAAATAAATTAAAATCTCAAAGACTCAATATAGCACCCATATAATTTCAATCATTGTGGACGGTATATTTGTCGAATCGACCTGAGTGTAGATCTGGAAATCTCTGCAAAGAGGCGCAACAGAGAGGGTACAAATACCAGTATTGGAAGAAGTGCAAGCAACATGGTTAGTAGTACCATCCGACGGTGTCCCCTTAGCATCAAACCAAGCGCAGCGCAGAAAGCAATTAACATTGATAGCACTGAAAAGAATAAGGAGACAAGGCCAAAGAGTAACTGAACGGGCAACCGTATCAAGAAATCTTCCTCACCATAACGTGATGTGAGGATCCCAATAAACATCAACACTGAAGATGAAGATGTGATAAGGGATATTGCATCTGATATGATGAAGATCTGAAAATATTGTTCTTTTAATAAGATGGGTTCGCCATTGTCACTTTTGTTCCCCCCTGGGACAGTGAAGGCTGCGGCAAACATTATAGTAGTGATGAGAGTACCAATAAGTGTAAAAGAACTTGATGTATCTTTTGCCCACTGCCGAGCATCTTTTAGAAGTCCTTCGTGTGCTTTGATAAATACTTCAAGAGGCACTTGCTCGTTTACATTTTTAGCTCCTAGGTACCACCGAGGCACTATGTTCTTTACTTCCTGCATGCATGCAATCATAAGGTTTATTAACATTTATGAAAATGCATTTCAACTAGAAGGTAGGAGATGGGTTAGTAACATTTATGCAAATGCATTTCACCATCAATGATATACTACAAACGTTAAATTTTTATTTAGATACTTAAAATTAAAAGTTATTTTAAGTTAAATAATTATTTTTACTGATAAGAATATGAATTCATTTTGATAATTAGATCTTTTTTGAATGACTGAGATTGGTTAATAAAAAAAACATAAGTATTTTCTTAGATAACTGTGTAACCCTTAATTATTTTAATTTTAATTAATGAAGAAACAACCAATTTTAAATTATATGAACTTTATATATTTAATTAGCTTAAAAAACTACGAATCCAACAATTAAATTATGAAATTTAATGTCAATAAATTAAACGATATTACTAAATAGAGTAATATGCGTTCAATTTACTGTATAAACGCATCTGAAACTCAAAAGCTAATGTAAGTAGCATTAGGCACATCCTCAGTTAAAAAATGTGAGACCAAACAAGCATCTAACATATGTACACACTTGATTTGTGCATATATAGGTATGGTGAAGAGAGAATAATGGATTTGAGTACCACAAACCACTGAAGTTCTCTTTGCATTTGTAGAGCTGCATTGGATATGCTGACAAGGTATGGCGGAGGTCCTAAGTCTGCCGCGAGGTGCAACATGTTATTTTCAAACTTATCTGTACTCCATGTAATAATCTCTTTTGAACCCTTTACCTTCTTTATGAGTTGGAACAACTTTTCTTGACGATTCAAAATTGCATGTGAAAATATGCCTCTTTTATTTCGGTCCTCCACCATTAAAAGTGCAGGATTTGCATCCATCATTGTTTCTATGAATTCAACAATTCCACATTTGGCTGCCTTCAACATAGCGTCTTCTACACGCACCGAACGCAACTCATGTTCTAATGTTATTTTACACACTTTTCTGGAAGTATTTTAGAATCTCGAGCACTAAGTGATGCTTCCTTTTCATCTTATATACTTTCATATTTCCTGAAAGCATTGAAAAGTTTAAGAAGAACTTAATATCTCAGTATACTCTGCTCCGGTAGAGACAATATGTTCGAGTCAGATACGACTATAGTAGTGACAAAATTCTTTTTTCAAGTCTTTGTACTCAAGACTTTAACATCCGTGTCAGATGATCCACAGACTCACTGGTCACATTTTAATAGAATTAATTCAAGCCTAAAAAAGACTAGGAATGGAAAATTGAGAGCATTCATGGTTGCACTTACCACACAGATTTACAAGCACGAAAGTTTGAGCCGCACGGAATTGACCTGAATATGGGCATTGCAGAAGAGATTGATTTCACGTAAATGTTTTTTAAAAAAAAATATGATTGAGGAGTGGCATTTATGTGTAGAGAGGAGTAAGCAATTGCATAAAGCAATAAAGTAATATTAGAATGATAGGTTTCAAGAAAAATAATTATTAAAGTAAGTAGTCAATTTATTTTCTATAAAATTAAAAATAAAACTCTGCATTCATATCTAGTAAATTAGGTCTTTTCGGTAAGTTTCATATAATGTTGCACAATCTTATTCCTTTCTGATTTTACCAATTGTCAAACTTAGTCATCTACCTATTTACATGTACAGTGTTGAGTTGTTAATTAATATTATACTAATTAACTACTTACAGATGTAATAATGTAATTGATTTATGCTTTTTTTTTTCTAAGGATTAAAATAAGTTAGCTCTCTAGTAAGAGCTTATGACTTAACTTTTTTAAAAATTTAGTCTAATTTAATTTATTTAAGTAATAAATTCAATTTAAACTTTTAAAAATTTAATTAATTGAATAGATTAAATTTGAACTTAAGAAAAAATTTATTAAATTTAATAGAATAACCTATTTAAGATTCATAAAATTTATAATAATATATTAAATAATTTTATATAAAAATTATTATAATATTATATTAAATAAATTAAATTTTAAAATGAATAAAATTTTAAATTAAAAATTTTAATAATTTTTATTAAAATTAGAAAGTATCTTTACTACATTCTATCTTAAAGAAAGAGTGTCACTTGTAAAAAAATTTTAAGTTAGTATTGTTCAATTTGTCCATATAAAACTGACATATATTCGTGTTTGTTATATGTTTAATAGTTTATTTATTTAAATTAAATATGTTATTTAAAAATGATAAATAAAAATATATAATTTTATCATAAATATTAAAAACATTGAAACTTTTTTTATAACTTATTTAAATATAAATTTTATGACATTTATAGAGATATACCTATTTATATGATCTAATAGTTTATTTATAGACAAATTTAATGGCCTATTAAAAATCTTAATATAAAGTAAGTCATTAAAAAAAGTTAATATACTATTTTAAACTTTTAAAAATATTAAGCTTGACTTAATAAAAAGTTAATAATAAATAATAATTATAGCTCAAGTTTCAAAAAAATTTATATGTACTTGTAAAAAGTCTAATCTAGCATATTTTTATTCTTAAATTTTACTCGAACTAATTATATTATATGCTTCTTCAGAATATTACAACTCTTCTAAATAGATAAAATAAAAGTGAGTCTTAGCTAAATAAAGAACTAATTCAAGCTAAAAAAATAAAAATACTACACTGATAAATTAGGAGCATTCGTGTTGTTCTTACCAACAAAGAGTTTTAGAAGCTTTGATCTTGAAACGAACTGTTGAACTCGTACCAAGAATCGACCTAAACATGACATTGCAGAAGAGATTGATTTCTTATTTTTCCCTTGAAAATGTTTTCCTCAAAGTATGAGGAGTGAACAAATTTTACATAAAGTAATTGTAGAGGAGTGTTAATTAGAAACATACTTTCCAAGTAAAAAATCATTAAAATGAATATTGCATTTTTCAGATTATTTTTAAACAAGGATATATTCATTGTTAATTTTAAAGAGTTAAAATTATGAGACACATTAATTTAAATAAGTTAATATTTTTTATTTATTCACTTTAGAGACTAATTCATTATAAAATGAATATTGTACAAAACCCATGGCACATATTGTATATATAAATAAGGGTTGCACCTTATGCAAAAAATAATAAATGTCTCATTCGTTTACTTTACTTTTTCTTTCTTTTTTAAGAAAGTACTTGTAACCAATAACAAAAACTTATATTTAAAAGCTATAAATATAGTTAGATAATTTTTTACAAGCGATAAAAGTTAAAGAGATATAAGTTCCAGTAAAAAAATTAAAATATTTTTATTTCTAAAAGAATCAAAACATATTATAAAACCTCTCAAATGATAACAACCAACAACTTACCATAAGCTATAATCGACTTATGAAAGATATAATTTTGATAATTTGAAACAATGCTAATAATTGTCTCTACTGATAGTAAAAAAAATGTTAATTTTATTAAATAATCTAAACATATTCTTAAAAGTTTATAAATTTTATCTCATAATAATATGAGTTTAATTTTAGTGCACTGTTCATAATTTTTTTTTACACTTTTAATTAATTAAAATACACCATAAATATAATTTTTATATTAGTTATTAAAAAATTAATATTAACTTTATGATAATTTATGAGTAAATAAAAATTTATATTTAAATTAAATGTTAATAATAACAATATAATAAAAAAATATTACTATAATTTATTCTAGTTTAATTAGAAGTTGACCGGCTAAAGTACCTGTGATTGTATTTGGTTCGTCCTCATAGTCAGTCCCAACATGGGATACGATTTCGATTCTTTCGTCTTCAAAGGCGTGTATCTTCTCATTTTTTACTATCAAAACTGTAAAGAAAATATGAGAAAATAAGTTATTTCTGCACTGAAATTTTATATTTTAATAAAATATTATAATTACTTCTTAAATTTTGTTATTGATAAATTAAAAAAATATTATCAATTTGATACCTAATTAATATATGGGGTACTATTCAATAAAATCCTCATTGTGGAGACGTGTGTATAAAAATTTGAGAAGCGAGAAATCCGATTTGTAGATATAATAAAACTGAAGGATAAGTTATTATTTCGATCTATATTCAAATATTATACACCTTCCATTTCAAATTGATGATCTTTAAAGGATTTTTTATAAAGATGAAGGAAAATAAATAATATCTTCAAATATTTATTTTGTTTGTTTGTTGACATATTTATTCACACAAAACTTAAAAAAAAAATGCTGCTTTTATTATTTATTTGAAGCAGAATCGAAACGAAATGGTTTTTTGTTATTATTATTAAAAGCGTCATTTAGTTTGCAATGAAAAAAGAGATAATTTCAGTGAAATGATAATATAATTAAATTGTCACCAGGTTCTTCTGAAGTTAAACTGGAAATATTCTAACTAATTTTCTAAAAATCAATAATATTATTTACAGAGCGTAAGAGGCTTTGGTAATGCAGAGAGGTGAACGTACTCTTATACATAAACTGCTCCCACAAATTAAGTTGGGCGCCACTTTGAAATGCAGATGGCGTGCTAGCTAGCTCATATATGGGCGCAATGTTTCCATCAGATTTTTTCAGGGATAATAGTTTAGCATTGGGGTGTTGAACTATTGCTGTTGCAACATCTGTAAAAGAAGAAATGGGATATAAACACAGCGAAAAAATGCGTTGGGAAAGAAGAAAAGCCTTACCGAATATTTCATTGGCGATGCATTGGGAAAGAAGCAAATCTAGAAATTTGTTCTCTCCGGTGAAGACAGAGGGAGGAGTGACTGAGAAAAGATAGCGAGTCATGTGGGAGTGGCCCTTAGCTGCAGCAAGAAGCAGAGGGATTTCACCTTTGTGTGTGGCAATGCTAAGCAACTCATCCCCTCCTTCTGTGAACATACACTCAGCTATCTTCTCATCGTCAATTAACTCGGCGGCTAGAGCAAGAGCTGTGTACCCCTTCTTGTCTTGCATTTTGACCAACCGCTCCTTCCCCAAATTAACCAACACATTCACAGCATCGGTTAACCCTTTGGACACCGCGGCGTGGAGAACGGTCTTTCCATCAGGGGATCTCTCGAAAATATCGTTAGGGTTCTATTCTATCTTCGATTCTGCGTCGTCCCAAAACCCCTTCATCACCAAATTATGGAGATCGTATTCTGGGTCATAGGTACGTGATTGCGTAGCTTCCTCGTGCCACGCTGCCACGTCCTCACTGTACGACACTTGCAATTGATTCCACGCTTCTTTCGCCGTTCCGATCCCACAAGAGAGTTGAATGGCGTGTAAAGCCTTTCTGTTTCTCGACTTCCATGTTTTGTCCCCTTTCTCTTTCTCTGTGTCACCCTCTACGACGCCGTCCCATAGCCCTTCCCCCATTAGGTAGTTTTTCACCAGCGTGCTCCAGTTTGAGTAGTTCTCTTTGTTCAGCACTTCAACCACGATTCCGTTCACACCCGACATTCTCATTTATCTGCTCATAACAATATTTTCAGCCAATACAGGAATTGCGTATTTATAGTGTGTAAGCAAGCTAGGTAGCACGCATCACTTTAATTAAGTGGAGATGCTTCTGTTAATGTATCATGTCATTAATTCCCGAGTTATGTTGTTTTAACATTTTAGGTTAATCAATCAACAAAATCGTCTTTCAAACTTTTATGTTTCCATCTCATTACTACTAATTTCGCTCTATTATTCAATGCATATTTCCTACCAATTTTATTATTTTTTCATGTTTATATTCAGTTCTTAGACACACAATCGGATAATTTAATAACTTTTTAAAATAAACTCATAGATTTATATAATTTTAATATATCAATCTTATCTTTTAAAAATGAAAATTTAGCCTAACTTCATTTAAACAAAATTCATAAAGTGGAAAGAATAATGTACCTTATGAAATAAAAAAGAACAGAAAAAGATAAAAGCGCGGAATAGCATATGGTAACTAAATTCCACCTCAAGCAACTCATACTCAGAGGGATAAACCACAATGTAAGAAACTCAAAAGTGGAAAGAAAAAGTTAAGAGTATTTCGCTGTACTTTTTTTTTTTTTAATTTTCGAAAACAAATTTTCAAAAATTACACTTATCAAATAAGTTTTTTTTTTCTATATACAAAAATAAAAAATTATATATTTAAATAAAATATAATTTTTAATAATCTAACTTTTAAATTATAATTATACATCATATTAATTAATATATATAGTTATACTATTTTCTTTTCTATATACAAAATAGATATCAAATAATTTTTAATTTATATAAAATCATATAGATATGATTATAGGATAAAAAAACTAATTCAAAAAATTAATTTTAAGATATGTATCTAACAAAAATATTAAATGGTATAAAAAGTGTATAAATATATAATTTATCATAAAAATATTATAAAATAATATAAATATATTTAAAAAAATTAATCAACTGACGAGATAGCAATTCGAGCAATTTAAAAATAAAATAAAATTAGACAATAGTTTACAATTTGACTGTGTTATCAAATATTTTTGGCAGAAACTTCTTTTATTGAAGATGTTTCTAAAACATATCAAATTAAATTTTTTATAATTTGGAATTTATTTTTATTTTATTTTTTGTTAAATATTGTCTTTATTTTTTTTAAATTATTACTTTTAGTCTCTTTAGTTAACATAATTTATTAAATGTCAAGTGTCAACTTTTAATTAAATCATACTAATTGAAAGAAATAAAAATAAAAATTTGAAAAAAGTAAAGATTAAATTCAATAAAATATTTTATAAAAATTAAATTTAAATTATAAAACTTTTGAGAAAGTCAAATGCTTAAGGTAAATTATATTGAGTGAACAAGTTATGTGACCATTGTTTAAAATCTGATTTTTTAAATTTATTTTTATTATCTCTTATAACTGAAGAAAGAAACAATAATTAAAAAATATAAAAATAAAATAATATTAATATTGAGAAAATGATATACAGTGGAAAAAGTAAATATCTGAATTCGGATAATGCAAATATTTGTTTGATGGCTTTGATTTGAATTTGAATAATGGTAAATGTTTGCACACGTTTAAAAGATAGGTCTAAGTGCTATCTATTTACTTCCATTGTATATAGATACACACACAAACATTAATAAACATAAATTTGATGATACACACATACATATAAATTAAATGTCTAGTTAAATATTCACATAAGTATTGCATGATCTATAATTCTCTAAATATTCATACAAGTATTCCATTGTAAATTGTACTCCTAATTTATTTAAAAGAAGCAATAGGTACAAAAATAAAGTTATACAATTTTTCATGTAAAACTAAAACAAAAGAAGAAAATTTAATTTCGTTTAGTGATCATCTTTGCATAATTCAAATTGTTAGCAAGGTAAAATACGATATCTTGGCATTTTATAGTAATTTCTCGTTATAAAATTTTGATGTTTCAACTAATAGTAGCATGTGTTGCAATAAATGCTAACAATCACAATATATCTTCGTTCCTAAGTCTAAGCAATGCATAAGCAGGAAAAACTTATTCCAAATCTGAACATTAAATCAAAGTGCTTATTATGAGCAATGTTACAATATTTTAAATGATCTAAATCAATTAAAGCATTAAGAACAAAAGCAATCATTTGAAAAATTTATAATTTTGAATTAAATTTAACTATGATAAAATTACATAAAATTTAGACACATATATGTATAGAAAACAACACAACAACAACAAATATGATAAAAAAAAATTATAAAGAATTTGTGACTTCATCAAGGTAGATAAAGTAAAAGGAAAAAAAAAAAGAGATGAAAATAAAAATAAAAAAGAAAAGAAAAAGGACTTGTACTTAAGGATAAGTGTTGGAAATCAAGTATAAGTCAAATAAAAGATGTATATAAAAGGCGGTGTCTTAATATCTATTGCCTAAAGGTTATAGGTGAATATAGTGTCTAAGTGACTTGTATCACTTACTTGATATATGTAGACCTCTCATGCTCTACTCAGATCCAACATTTTATATCAAAGAATTAGTATTTTATATTAATAGAATTTTGAAACATAAGATTTTAAAATGTTCACATAATAAGCTAGGATGTAGGATTTGTCGACTAAATATTTTATTTTTTTAGAGAATTTATTCAAGATTCTATATATACATAAGAAAAGCTATGTGCAATTAAAATATTATATAAATTTGATTAAAAAATTATCTACTCTATAATAAAAGAAAACGGAAAATATTCAAAAAAATGAGATTTATAATGGAGATTGCGTTTTGCACCTTTTTTTTATATCCTATTAATTTTTTATGTAACTTTTTTTTTTAAATATCCTTATAATTATTAATTTTTTTATTTTTGTTTCAAAATTTATAATAACTTTCTTCTCTTTTAGAATTTCACTTTTCATTTCTACTGTCATTTTATTCTTCTTCTAAGTTTTGTTATTACTTTATTATCACTTTTTTCAAGCATAACTCATTTATTTTTACTCTCCAAAAACTTTGATTAATCTAAACGTAATATAAAAATAAATTTTTTATAAAAAACACTCAACCTATATATTTAAATTCAATATTATAGATTGAAGTTAAAAATTTATCTTTATTTAACTTTTTGTAGACCACTCTTTTATTTATCTATAACTAGTTTGAGGCATTTATTGTAAAACTCTCTTTTTCATTTATTTATTAATTGATGAATTATTTGATATTAAACAGTGTTGGAATGTGTTTGACAACGATTTATGGATGTTTTTGTTGAAGTCTGGTGTAGAAGATCTCGCTCAAGCGAGCAGGGGTTTCGCCCAGACGAGTTGAGTTGCTCAGGTGATGACTCACATGAAAAATGTCTAACTCTTTGGACGTTGTCTCGCTCAGGTGAGCATGATCTTGCTCAAGCGAGAATATCAGAAAATGCTTGGGGAGACCATTATCTGGTATTTTTGCCTAGGCAAGATATACCCCGCTCAAGCGAGAAGTTCCTCGCTCAAGTGAGAGCGCACGAAGCTGAAGTATATTTAAGAGATTTTCAATATAAAAATTTCATTCATTCCAAACCCCATTTCTCCTCTCAACTTTATCTGAACTCTCACTTCCTTTTCTTAGATAAAACTCCTCCAAACTCTGATCACTCCTTAAATCCGAATTTAGACATCAAATCTAAACGACTCCAAGTAAGTTTATCTAGGTTCAACTCTATTTTATCTGTTCATTATTCTTGTTTTTCATTTCTCAAGGATATCTCTTGATACACAGGAAGTACTTGTGTGTTGAACTACAACTTTCATAAATGTCTCTCCGAATACTCACCTCGAAGTAAAGAGGATTCTATTTTATCATTTAGTTAAGTGTATATTTTCTACTTATGGAGACATTGTTATATGATCATGTATGAGAATACATGTTTGAGTGATATAAGTGTTTGATTGTTTGGTTTAAGGAATCATATTATGTTGGTATGAAATATGTGATGAGAACTCAATATATGGCACATGAAAATGATGATGTATAGGGAAAATGTTGAATGTGTCATGGTATATGTTGGCTGGAAATGACTATATTGCCTTGAAAATACATGTTTGAAAAAAAAGTTGTATTTCTATGTTATGAATGATATGGACTTAGTTCGAAGGTGTTTTACTAAGCACGATCTTATGAAAGGGAGAATGAAAGGATTCTTGGGATGAATATAAGTGTCAAATATGGAATAAATCTAATGTAAATAGTTACAGAGATACACTAAGGATATAAAGTCCGAAGACGATAAAAAATCTAATGAGAACGTAGAGTAGTGAACGACATTCGTATATGTGTACACATTCTTTCTAAGAGTGAATACGTCACATGGCCTCACATTCGTTTCTTGACTGGACTTTGGAATCTACCTTTGCTTAGGGGCCATTATTGTATACGTTGTATTAGTGTGCATGGGATCGATAACTATTTATCTAATTGAGTAAGACGTCGAGAAGTGCTGGAAACATTGTATTTCTATTATCACAGTACATTGGGAATGAGTGTTTAAAGGAGAGAAATTAGATAATTTATGACAAACTTGTATGTCGTGACTACTGATAAATGTATAAATTAGGTAATTTTAGATTATGACTTAAACACTTTTCATGTTAAATGTTTAGATTTTTTAGTTAAATTTCTCCTAAACTTAGAACTTTTACAATTACTTGTATATTTGAGGAGAAGAATGCAAATGTAAGTATTTTAATTCCTTTTTGATATATTTTATAATTGAAATCAGA